TTTGAGGCGCAATCAATTAATATACGTGAAATTTGTATAAATATAAAAATATATAAATATAAAAAATAGAAACATAAAAATAAAGAATTTTCTCAAGATTATATGAATTCTTACAATCTCGTAAATAATTAATTTGATATTGTTCTTTATATATTATATAAATTATATTAAGTACATATCTTAAATTATAAAAATTATGTTTATATCATTTTAATCTTCACAGGCAAATATTCCGAAAATATACAATTTTACAAAAAAGATATTCCAAATAAGAATTGTATTGTTGTACAGGGATCCCCCTCCCCCCCTCCTTGTATTTGTACAACTTTTATTTGGAATATACTTTTGGTAAAATTGCATTTTCGAAATACTTGTCTAGAGATTAAAATAAACCACCTTGCATATTATATTTGTATCATATGAATCATATTTAAATATATGTATAATATATATAATATTATGTTATGTATAATATTTTTCAGGGTCTGAGCAAGGACAAAGATAAAAGGGATGATAACGTGCAAAATTCTTTTTGGGTGTACAATATACAGAACAGCAAATGGTCTTGTATATATCGTAACGAGAACGTCGGTGAAAAATACTGGAGCAAGATGCAAGATTATGAACCATGTCCGCGATTCGCACATCAACTCGTTTATGATCACACCAGAAAGGTACGTTGTAAATTGTATTTATAGTAGTTATATCCTTTTATTACTGTTTTAAATAAATTTCCGTTTGCCAATTGATTCAACAATTCTTCACAAATTATTCCTTCATTAGGTTCATTTTCTGTTCGGCGGTAATCCAGGCAGATCCTGCCTTCCAAATTTACGACTTGACGACTTTTGGCAATTGGAACTGCGTCGACCTACAGGCGAACAGATTTTGAAAAAATGCAAGCTAATCATCAGAAAGCATAAGTTTAAGGAACTTGCCCTGAACAATAGTATAGAGGCTCTCGAGTACCTGCAAACGAAGATCTTCGAAATTATCGACCACTCTGACACGCAACAAACGAAAGAGGTATATATCCTTACGCGTTTTTTCATTTACATATTTTTATATTTACCACCGCTATGCTGATCGGTAAACGTAATATCGTCTCGTTAATCGCCATTTTCCCTTCGTAGTTTCAACTCTTGACATCGGTCTTATTTTGGAAACAAAATAACTCGTTGGAGGACGCCTCCCATTCGAGCACGATTCTGAATCAGTTGACAAGTGGCGTAACGACGCAACAGTGCGCGAACGCGCGTGATGTACATAACTTGCGAACTGAACTGTACAATAAACTCGCGGAATTTTTCCCGGAATCATTGACGCAGCCGCGAGCGAATTTGATCGATCTGCTACCGTTATAATGACGCAGCGAGGGGGTCGTGAGACCTTGAATGTCGGAATGTTCTCTGTTCGCATCACGTAATTTTTTATTTTGTTCAACAGTAATATCCTCGATACAACTGGCAAAGTAATCCTCATTTTTGTAGACTTACGAGCCTTTTCATGTTTGTGGTGTGATTTGTTTTTCTCCTTTCGATATGTTTTACCAATTATGGGGGAAAAAAGAATTTTGGATACAATTGTAATAGATTTCGAGTTCAACATTAGCAAAACTGCTTCTCACAATTTTATTTATTTCGTCTTATAATACGCTTCTTAAGAATTTTTTTGTTTTTTTTTTATGAATCGGGAAAACGATTCGGGACAAAACATTCTATGTGTCATTTATACTTACCTACACTTATTTGAGATCGGGAACTTTGTGATATCGATAGCTTTCTAATGGACTGGTTAGCTGATACGTAAGTAAGCTAGAGATCAATTTTATATGTAATCTCTTCTGTATTCTATATAGCTATGTGTTTATAATGTGGCCATAAAGTTGTTGTTGTTGTTATTATGTTTTGCTGAAATAATATATTCATCGAGTGTAAATTGAAGGGAGATAAGACTAGCGCATTAAGAAAGCTGTTAATTAAAGGCGTCGCGATTTAGCGCTTTCAAGATATTTCAAGCAACTTGAGACAATGTACGCTGTTTTCTACCAAAAGTATGTAAGCCAAAAATTATTGTACAGCTTCGTTAAACGCAACAAATTATAACTCTTAATCTGAAGTTTAGCGGTTTTCTGACTTACAGAGAGATGGAGAGACAGAAAATGTTATAATTAGTTACATATAAAATTTCCTTCTTTAGTTAATTACAATCTTAAATTATAATTAGGTCAATTGTTACTTAATTTAATTAAGATTTCGAATTATAATTAATTAAATAAGGAAATTTTGATGTGAATATTATAATTGAATATAGAAATTTTATTACACTGACTATAATGTTCCTCCCAATTGAATAATTGCTTATGTATTTCCCACATTGTTAAAAGCAACATGAAAATTTCATGTAGTCAAGTTGATTGAAATATTCTGCAAATATCAATTTGTTTTCTTTTGTAAAATGATCTGTTCTTAGATATAGCAGCTCCGTTATCCCGCGTTTTTTGTTCATAATCTAAGAATAAGTTCATTCACCGAAAAATGCCTTCTAACGAGATGTGAAATTTGAAAGTGTTATTATTGCATGCAAACGTCGACACGAGGTAACAATCGGGTCACAATTTGGACTTCCCCAAAAGCTTTCAGCTCCTTTTTAAACGATCAACTGCGATGGATTACCAAAGTAAATTTCAGGAACTAAATTTTCATTAGCATGTAAATACCCACGATGACGAGTCACGTTGATCTATTTCCGTGTCATAATTATCGATGCGTTACATTTAATTGTTCATCGGCAAAAATGCATCTTGTACATTGTACATACGTAATCAGCCTCTCGCGAGCTTAAAACATTATTAAGGAAAGAGGCGTATGTGAAAACGAAGCAATTATATGTATATTGTAAGATGTAGAAGCAAAAACTGTATAGCAGCTAAAGGGCGTCTACAATGGCAGTAAGCAGTAGTAGTAAGGCTGTAAGAGTAAGAAATTGACCGATTATTTTTCTCACATTTGACTATGATTAGTCAGTTTCTTATTCTTACAGCCTTACTGTCATTGTAGACGACTCTTTAGAGTATCCGGCCGCGTTCTATCTTTGTACATACATACACGATTATATGATGATAAGGAACGTCGAGACGATTTTTATAATGTGATTCCAATTACGCTAAGTTAGATAACGGAATTGTAAAAAAAATGAACGGAGAGTATATATATATATAAAAAAAAATATATGAATAGAGAGACTAAACGAAAGTGTACGCAGGCATAAAAACGAGACGACGTTGCCATTCCTTTAAATATACATAATACGATATATATTAGACTTCTCGAAGCTGGAAGGATTTAGATATCGCTTGTACGCACTATATACATGGAAGATATGCGAAATTCTTCAAGCTTTGGGACACGAGCGAAACGAAAAACGTGGATATACATCCGAAGTTCTAGTCAGATAATAAATGTTTACAAAGTACACGACAGAGAGAAAAGGATTACGAGTTTGGAATTTATTTACACACGCAAACTTCAGTTAAAGAATGAGAAATTTATTCGTTTTTTTTCCATTCCTATCACCGGGACGCATTCTCCTTTCAGAATTACATTGTCGATATAACTCTGTATATATCTTTATAATATAATAATATATAAACGGAATATATTGCACGAGAAAAAAACAACGGACAAATGCACATTAAATATCACTAACATATTTCAAATTATGGTGAAAGAAACCTCCATTGGGGGTTTCTTTCGCCATGTTTCAGACCATAAAGAACTGACAGAAACCAAGAGTGCATTCGGGGAAACGTTAGCGCTATTTTTGTCATTCTATCATTGTTTTACATCTAATAAGACCCGGGTAGCAACGTGTTGCTAGCAAGTTGTTCCAGAGTTGTTAGCAAAAAAAAGAAAAAAAATTTCCCTGACATTTCCTGATTTTCCTTGATTACATTTGAGAAAGATTTTTTGAATAAAAACAATTTTTTTGTGCCCCGCATATTGCGGTTCTTCCGCGTTGTTTACGTAGGAAGGCTTAAGACCGTTGTGCAAATTGGAAGATTATTTTATGATTTGCACTGGTCTGTCAGGCCTTCTTCAGTCCATTAAAAGTATTACTTTGCACTATAAATTAAGATCATTAAAATACTATGTTCTAATTATCTTTGTAATTAAATTTAATTAAAAATGATTTATATGAATGTTTATCATTAATATATACATATTTTGATTTTTACAAAGTTTTTTCTTTTTAACATGCAATATCTGTTAATTTCTGCAAATTGCTCAAGTAGAAATCATAAAAGTATTGGCATGGCTGTAAAAAAAAAATTAAAAAATTTATTTTACTATTATTTATTTCATAATTATTAAACAAGTTTATAAACTTAGAATTTTACAATAATTTAATTTTATCTTGGATTAACAAATTTTTTTTATAATTTTCCTGACTTTTTTCAGTTTTTCCTGATTTCCCTAACTGTTAACAATTATGCGTTCACGATATGTATTGCTATCAGAATTGCAGCAACCGAGTCCACAAATAGCAAGTTAATGCTTTCATGATATGACAATTTTAACAACTTGCCGATAACTTTAAAGTAGGGCTTGCTATTATACGTTTAAACGAAAATACATTTGCACGTATATTTTTAGCACATTTATCTATGAAAAACGTCTTTTCTAATATTGTCACTTTTTTTTTCATTTTATAAACGTTTATACCTTCGTTAAAGGATCTTCCTAATATGACACGGATTGAAAAAATTAAACATTTTTTTAGGTGTAAAAAAAACGTTTGAGTGTAGTAAAAACACGAAAAATATGTATATAAAATAACATTGAAACAATGTATTCGGAAAACCGTTTCTAATAAACGGATACGCTGATTATACACATGTTTATCTACAAGTAAACGTTTTTCTGAAAATGAATATAAACTGATAAACGTGTCGCGTTTACATGTAGATTTTCGAAAAACGGAATAAAGTCAGAGCCCTACTTTAAAGTCTTTATCATCAAAATTTGTGCTGTTGCTGAATTATTTATTATAATCTATAAACTCACATAACGCTATCATATTGTCGACAATAAAAGGTAACTTTAATGCTGCTATTTGCTGTTAATTACTGGCAATATGCAATTATTGCTTATATTACTACAATTTCGGGGGGGGGGGAAGTATATATATTCGAAATTTTAAGACAAATATACAATAAATGTTTAGCATTATAAACAATCCTAGATTTGCATGATTTTGCCGAGACTTTGTTGTCTGGGGAACGGTGAAGTTAGAATGGCACAAATAGCGATAACAATGTTTCCTCAATAAATAAGATACCTCAATAATTGATCAATAACATTGCACAAAGTATATAAATGTAAAGTTTCAGTCTCTATCATTAATCTTAGATGTACATATATATATATGTATATATATGAGCAATATATAAATTAGTATGCTCTTATTGCAAGGAAGTTTTATACATTGGATTTGCAGTTCCGTGTCATCTCCTCGTTCCATCCATTTGTTTTTAGACAAAATATATACGCATGCTGCGCATGCTCTATGAGCTTTGTTTGGTACTAGAATCACGTTAGCTTTGGTAAGACTTAATACGTGTTATCTCTGATAACAGATTCCTGCATAACGTCACATTCAAGACTCTAAATTTCTGAAAGCAGCATCAACAAGTCTTAATCAATTCACTTCTGGAAGATACACAGAATAATAACGTTAAAAATATATTATAATAACTAGAAACAAGTCAGAACTGTTGCTCGTAATAAAAGTACGAATTGTCAAAAATGCATGTAGCGTTCATTAAAAAAAAAAAAAATTACGCAATTAGATTCGTTAAAATTATCTTGGAATCTGGTAGACCGTCCAGAATGTAATGAGGGGAATTCGCCATGGACGCGAGATCGGCCTCGAACAATGTCAACTGAAGCTCCTTTCGCGCTTTCTGTACAATATAAACCATCAATGAGACTCCTACTAATATCTACAACACAACGAGAAAAAATTATTATTCTAGTTACGTCTGCAGCAAACACTTGAAGTAGACTTGAAGTACGACCCACCTGGAAGCAAAATACTACGTAGCCAGTCGCTGCCGTGGATCTATCCTCCAATACGTCCTGCATCGATCTGAGACTACTGCCCAGATAAACGTTGACCAGTTGGGCGGGCAGTAAACCTATCGCGCTGGCTACGTGGTAATGAAAACCACCTATGTTACTGACCTAATCATACACATGTATAAATATACATAACATTGTCATGAGTTATGCATGAGAGCATACCTAATGTGATCAGATTGTATCTCTTTCAGATTGCTGGTCCTGTTTAACATCCAAATGTAGGAGTCAAACAATGAATCATTTTATCCGACACAAAATTATTCAATGACATTTAATGAATAACAAAGATAGAATGGCATTTATATCGACTGTTTTTTTTTTTTTTACAGAAAGTAGCCAGTTATTAGGCTACTTATTATCTTTAACTAAACTTCTTGAGTCATTTTTCTTCTTTTTCTTTTCACATTGAAAAGAAAAGAGGTTGTTTGTAAGAACTGAGTAAAATGGAAGTAGTCAAATTTCCCACTTCAAATACGAAAATATCTGATCACATTAAACATATGCTCTGTGTACGACGAATGTGCCGCGATACGTACTGCAAAAATAGTATTCTGAAGACCGAACGGGATCGGAGTAAGCCGCGCAAACAGAACGATCTTGAAAGCCTGAGATCCAGATATTACGCGAAGTATCGCTCTCGCCGTATCACTCTGTAGGAGAGCACCGATTGGTAGCCTGGTGGACAGCAGGCCCAGAGTCACATGGGCAATTGCTATGCCAAGATTAGCAGAGAGTATGACGATCGCCATGCCGCGTATCACGCCAAACAGGTAGCCACTGGCGACAATGAGGAACAGATAGCCGATCACAATCGGGAACGACACCACCGTGAACAGACCTATGAAGATCACAGCGATGATCCAGGCGTTCTGATGCTCGATCCAATAGAGCAGTAGTTTTATGTAGTCCCTACAGATGAAGACAATGGTGCCGAGGAAGGCCAGAGTCGCGATCGTAATCACGACGTAGCATATCGAGTTCGAGCTGATACAACCAAAGAGTATCCCCGAATTCTTGGAAGAGCGCATACCAGTCTCGACATCGTCTATATCGATGATCTGATCCATGTTTCAACAACTTCTCTACAATGTTCTCCACAATGTATCAGAGAGCAGTCAATCCTTGACAACAATGTGTGTAAAAGCAAATAGTAATTAATTAAAACAGTAGAATATAGAATAGAATTTACTTCAGTTTATATCAACAAGAAGGGATAATTAATTTTAAAAAATTAAGATACACTAGATTCATATCCCTTCTATATTTTACTTAAATATATTATAGTAGAATAGAATAAAATTTATTTATACTTCAGCTTACATTGCCACACAAGAAAAATTAATTATAACAATTAACTTTTTAAAAAATATTAATGATTATACGTACAAGAAATTCATTTTTCTATTCTGTTAAAAAATAGAGAATAGAACTTATATACTTTAGTTTAAATTGTCAAGAAAGAATAATTAAAATAATTAATGTAAAGTAAAAATGAGAGATCACACACGAAATCAGGTATTTTAAATAAATTTCATAAAGTTGAAGAATAATTTTACCTTGCAACATTGATGGAGGGAAGTGAATCGACTTATACTTCAGCCCATAATGCGAAATGCGTATATATCTGTTTGGGAAGAACGTGACACATAAAATTTCGGTTGTTAAACATGCTACTTGGCAACATGTCAACCGCAATAAACCTATTAACAGACGCAAAATTGTGGAAAAATATTAACGTCAACGTAACTATTTAACTCTTGAACCAACTGCTCCTAAAATTGTCATTTCTCTAAAAATAGAGTATACAATCTCGATTTTTTTTTTATTAATTAACTAGATTGCTGTAAATAATTATTCGGAAGCGTGGCAAACTTTGACTATATAATATGGACGATATAGACTGGTTGTCAACTACGAGAATCGGACAAGAAGGAAATACCAGGGAATACGTCTACAATCTGCATTGTGGACGAGATTCAAAAATAAACCTGTAGATGCCGCCACCGCCGCGCCGCGATAAAGCTAAAATTAATTGCCCTGGCAATATTAAACGCTCGGCCATTAAGGACGTTCACCGGCTACAATCGTAGCCAAAAGTTTACTGCTCGCTCGCTTCTCGGTGCATAGCGCATGTCTCTCCCCACTCCGCTTCCCATGCCTATACTTTTTCTGCTGAGTGTACTCACGCACAAGCAACGGGGTTCGATGCCTTGTATGTACACACGCACACTAGCCTGTTGAGAAAAGCGGGGACCCGTTTCATAGCAACGGCTCTCCTTCCATGCGGCGACTTACTTCAAGTGCTGTCGGATACACCACTTCGAACTTCGATAACTCAAGAACGGATCCCCGTTTTTTTTTTCATGTTATTTCTAGCATCATCCTGCATCATATCCTAATTTTTTAGAACAATCGTATAGATATCACAGTCGCTATGAATTGAAATGTCACTTGAGCGCACGCTTGGGCTATACCTTACATGTTAAAAGCTGCAACTTTGATCCGATAATGGTGGAATGTAGGCAGTACCAAAAATAAATTTGGCATTCTGAATCAAAACTGATACAAAAAGCTGTTCCAATTTTACAGGGCATATTATAGGAGAACTATTCAAGTTCTTGGACACAGCAATTAACACACCACCACCACGTGAGCAATCACTTGTTTCGAAACATCGGTCCTGTCTGTAGATATTATAATCATCCAATCCCAATTCAGCATAAAAAAAAAAAATATATATTTTTATATATTAAAAATATATAAAAATATGCATTTATTTATAAGGTTATATAAAGACTTTATAAATTCTTTATATGAATTTTGATGAAATCTTTATAAAGAACTTATAAGACTTTTATTTAGAATATATTAACTTTTTTTTCGCGGGATTCTATCTCTTAAAAAAACTTTTTTTAAAAAAAAGAAAAAAACATACGCCAAGTGCATAAGAAAGATATTGAACTTCTTGATCCAAAACAGATATGAGATAAATATAATTGACCAAGTGTATTCTTCATTACGCCAGTCACATAATTAAGACAGACCGAAAGTGAGTATAATTATCAACTGTATTATAGTGAAGAAAAAACTTGGCGTGCCCGGGTCGCATTAATTGTAAACAGTATGCAGTGAAAACATTAATTCAACATAGTATTTGTATTATAAATTAAAATAACAGACATATGTATACAGATATAATATATACGTATAACATAGTGATATAAATTGTGAGACATGAAAATATATTCACAAATAATAGATGTGATGTAAATTATGGACAAGTATAATATTTAGATATATATTTTAGAAACATTATAAATAACAACTTTTTATGTTCAGTAAGCAATTATTAACATCTTTTCTTTGTTGAATTATTGTTTTCGCATATATAGTGTATACTGCAGAATATTGCGATAGAACCAAGGTTCTAGAGTATTGAATGACATAAATCGGGCAAAAAAATGTCAAACTTCACAAAAGACGTCTTGAGGACTTTTCCAAAAAACGTTCTTAAGACGTATTTCGGACTTTATCCACAATAAGTCTGTTGCAGGTAGTCGGAAAGACGTCTTGAGGACATGACGGTTATAATATCGACTATTCTAAAATGATTTTTTGTCGATTTAGAATGTAATTGACTAAGAGTTGACTTATATTGTCAATTTTATATTTATTATTTTAATAATAAAATTCTGTAGATGCGCCATATATAATATATATATATATTTCAAATAATATAAAATACTAAAAAATGGTTATATAAGTAACAATGAATAACTTATTTTATTGTTGCGATGTCTCATCGTAAATTTTTTTTAAATCCATATTGTATAAATAATAACAAATTAATGAATAATCTATGAGCACGTTAAAAAAGTAAATAATTTGTGTTAAATGCACGTATAATAGAGAAATGAAGTACTTATGTATAATCTGTTCCTTTTAACAAATAATCATCGCAATATATGCGATGCTGTACTTTCATGTCATCGATCTTTCATCAGTTGTGTTTCTGACCATTGCTGACGAAGAGAACATTAATTTTAATTATAAAAATAATTAATGAATTCATCATCGTCGTAACCCAACTGGACCCCATTCAGTCAAATTTGATATTGAGAGGTAAGAAATTCTTTTCAATGGTATATGTTCTTTCTTTTTATTTCTATTATTTAGTTCTTAATAGAACTAAATAATAGAAATAAAAATTAATTTTAAATTTCGGTGACTATAAAATCACATAACATTCATTCATTTATTCATTTATTTTTCCCCAGCATTAAATTCGTTCCTCTCCTGTCCAAGGCTGTCCTTACTCCTTCACCGTCTTCTGAGTTTCCCTAGTTTGGTTTTTCTTCCTACTCGATTGCGGATGCGGATCGAAACTCCTATTCTTGAAAAGAAACGTGTACAAAGAAGACGTGCATTGGAATTTAAAAAAATGTGTATTTATTTTGTGTGAAAATTTATTTAAAAGTTAAATAAAAATTAATAATTAAATAATTAATGATATCTACATTACCGACGATTAATGCACAAGTCTGAAATTGATCTAAAAATAATGTCTGAAAGACGTATTTCAGACATTATCCTTAAGACGTTTTATGGACATTGATTTGGGATCAATAAAGAGACGTCATAAATCGACGCATAAGCCATCTTTAAGACGTCATATAGACGTCATTCTGATACTTCCAAAAAATGTGTCTCATGAATTTTAGGACGTCTTTATGACGACAAATTGTTCTCTGGGTTGGAGCTATCAATGGAATGGTTCTACCAGCGTGAATTGAGAATTGGCGACGTCTGGCGAACAGAGAGATCCCTCGTGAGTGCTTATTGCTGACTCGATAAAATTAGTAGGATTAATAGCAAAAGAGTTAATAAAATTAGAATTAGTAGAAATAGAATTAATAGATTTGTTGTAAGGAACGATAATATTATTATGATGAGAGGTAATAAGTTTTGGTTAGAATTACATTGTAGTTCTTTACATGCAGTAAATCGACTGGAGTTTAAGTACAAACTCTTGACCTTGAGATAAATAATTTATTTTGTTACATGTTGACTTATTATATACAATGTTTTATACATTACTTTTGGATCATTATTATAAATATTTTTTAAATCATGTATAGCTATAGGTATTAAAATTTCGTTATTATTTACAGGATGTGAGTGCCTTAAGTTTCAATCAAAAAGGAAACTTATTAGCAAGAGCCGCTCTAAACAAAGTTTCTATTTGGGATTGGGCTGCAAGGAAAAAGCGTTGTTGCCTTCCAAGTGGCGATGGCTTACTAAGCGAGGTATGTATAATATTTATATTATATAATAAAGTATTGCTATTTGAATGTTTTGTAATAGTTATTCTGATTTAATTGTATTTTTTTATTAATCTTTTCAATTTAATAATATATGTGTTTAGGCCAAATGGCTGCCTTTAGACGTAGAAAATTTTATGGTCATTCGTAGTTTCGATGGTGATATACATTTATTAGATCTTGAATACAACTCATGGAAACAATTGTTGCACTATGAATCATCCTTTCATGATTCGGTACCACGTAGACAACATTTTATGAATGACAGGTCATTGGCTGTGCATCCTGAAATACCCTATGTCTTGTTTTCTGCTGGAAACGGCTCGATTTCATCCATAGATATCCGGGAGGATACATCAAAGTAAGACATTGTTATTAAAAAGTTCACATGTAATAATGTTTCTTATATATTCTTTGTTTATAGCATACAGAATGTCTATATATATCTAATAGTAATTGTTTTTGTACCAAAAATCGTTGTATTGACTGTGTTCAGCAGACTCAACAGTTTTGCAACCGTTTTATAATTCGTCTCGCTGATTGGATTATACTTTTTGATCTAAAGAAATAGTCCTATCTCAACGAAGAGTCATAAAATAGTTATAAAACTGTTGAGTCTGCTGAACGCGACTATTATCTGGCGTTAAGTGTAGCACGAAATCGTCCTGTGTACTTATATGCGAATCAATCATATTGTGATTGAAAGATGACTGGACCGTTATGACAGCTATAGCCCGGTTCAACCAAAGTAATATTGATTTATTTCGGTTCAACTTACTGTTAATCTTTTCCTAATTCTTATAATTGTTTCTGTTTTTGTAATTCCAAGAATTAGAAAAACAGGAACGATAAGTTAAACCAAAATATACTTATATTGTTTGCACCTGAGTTAATGGCTATTTTTAAAATGTAGATTAATTTTAATCTTGGTTCAACTTATACTTTGGACAAGAAAAAATGATAAGAATCTTGTTGAATCGTACATTTGAAACTCAACAAACGGAAAATAGGATATGCTGGCATAAAAGATCCAGGTTCGACCATTATAACAAAAAAAGTTAAAACAAAATTAAATTTAATCTACGTTAATTAGTAGAAATGAGAATAAGTCGATTAAATTCTACATAGACGCAATACTAAATTTTGACAATATTCAATACTAAAGACCGTTAATATGTGTAAGAACATAACTAATACAAACACGAACCCTACAACAGTCTAGCTTGGATCTCTAATTGCTTACATGTACCGCGGTAGTATCACGAATTAAAACAAATGAATAATTAACTAATATACGTAGTCCCCCCAAACTGCGCGTCGAACTATCGTTGGTCTTGAAACGCAATTCTAATAATCTGAAAATAATAAATCTGGAAATAATTCTTCTTATTGTGAAAAATATTACATCGGCCGGGAGTCGAACCCGGATACCTTGCTTTAAGCAAGTGTCCTAGCCAATTAGACTACCGAGGCCTTAGTAATATTCCTCGCAATAATTTATTTTAATTGGTGATAATACCACAGTAGTTTACCAGGTGTATGCATAAGTTTTTTCCGGTTTTTTGGTAAAAAAAAAACACGTAATTTTCAAGGGAAATTAGTTTTTTTTTATTTAAAATATTGGCCATCGGCTTCTACACATTTCGCCCATCTTTCAGGTAATTTATGAATACCATACCAGAGAAACTGCTTGTCTTTTGCGGCAAACCATTCGTCGAGCCATTTTCCAACTTCCTTGAAATTGCTGAAGTGCTGCTCTGCGTGCCCCATTGATGTGAAGAGGTGATAGTCAGATAGCGCCAGGTCTGGGGAGTACGGCGGGTGCGGAAGGATGTCCCATCCAAGCGATTTCAAGGTGTCTTTCACTGGTTTTGCTGTGTGAGACGGCGCATTGTCGTGTAACAGAATCACAGATTATCGAGTTTTGATCTTTCCCATTGCTCGTAAACGTCTGCTGATTGTTTCTTGTGATACATGTAATGCTTCTGCTAATTGCCGTTGAGTTTGAGTTGGGTCTTCATCCAATAACTCTTGCAATTGCTCGTCTTCGCATTTTTGTGGTCTACCAGAGCGCTCACTGTCTTTCACATTGAAATCACCACTTTTAAATTGTCGAAACCATGTCTCACATGTTCTAATCGATGGAGCGTGTTCACCATATGTTTCTACCAGCAAACGATGAATTTCAACAGCCTTTTTCTTTTGATTAAATAAAAAAAGCAATGCGTGCCGCAAATGTTCTTTTTCAGGCACAAAACTCGACATGATCACTGAACTATAAAACAAAGACGCTAGTTTTTGGCGGACACAACTTGTGTGTGTTTGTATAGTTAAATGTCAGACGACCAAAATGGCGTATGTATCAAATTAATACGCTGCGTACTTTTCGCTGGCACCATCTCTTAGTTAAACCGGAAAAGACTTATGCATACACCTGGTATATGTAAACGATTAAAGATCCAAGCTAGACCGTTATAGGCTTCATGTTTGTATTAGTTATACTAATAAATTTTGAGTTTACATGATAAAAGTGTTTATTTTTGTTTTTTAATACACATGTTATATATACTAATATCCATTATAATATTAAATACATTTATGTTCATATCCATAGATTGGTCGATATAAAGAAATTTCGAAATAGTACGTTAACAAGTATACATTGTAATCCTTCTAATAGTAATGAAGTTTGTGTCACCGGTCATTTTCCCTGCGTAAGGGTGTATGATCAGCGAAATACTTCGAAACCACTTTATCAATTGTGGACCACCAAGTATCACAAGGTATGCATTAGTTTGATTCAAACCTATTGCTGAAAAGTTTATGAATATTTAAAGAAATACTACAGTGTTTATGTTTTTTACATGAGTTTTAATTACATATGTAATTTAAATGTATTAGTGGGTTTGAAATGAAAATGTTTATTAGTTTGATCAAATTGATGAATTTGATGAATTAGTTTTATCAAACTAATGACTGAAAAATGTATTTTCATAAAATGTATTTTCATAAAATGTATTTTCAAAAACTGCATAATAAAAGAAATCGGAATACACATAATCTATTATCTTGATGCCTTAGTACCATGTAATATTATGTATATGTTAAGAAAATATAATTTGTAATATATATTAGAAAAGTGGCAATCTTAGACATTGAAAACATTTTATTCAGTCAGTAAGAAGCATTCTACATGATGATAATAATAATCATAGTTATAATCCGTGATAATAATAATAATTAATAATCATAATAATTCATTCGTAATAACCACAATTTGTAAATGTACAAGGTAAACTTTCTCTCTCACTCTCTTTCTATCGCACCCTTTATTTCTCTCTTTCGCTCTCTGTTCTCGCATTCTCTCTCGTTCACACGTTGAGAATTGTCATTTTATATAGTGTACATAAAATTACAGAAAAATTCACCAATATATAAATCAAACGTCGTTACTCTTCAAAGACTATGAATGTAGTCAATAAATCATCCCTATCATCATTCCGTCTCTGCTGCAAAGATACTTCTTGATACTTTTCTTTCTTTCTTTTTCTTTTTTTTTTTTCAGTTCGGCATTCGGCAGCGTTGTTGGATTTGAAGGACTACTCTTTTAAAGGTCCGCAGCGGCAACGCCCTCGCAATATTTCCCTAATATAGTATATTTGTACATTTGTAGGTCCTTTCCTTATAACCCTGGGAAACACGGGCGGAGATCCGATGGATCCCCTGAATACATGAAATCAACGATCAATCATTTAATCTTAATTTCACGTTCAATTATCTGATGCTGAATGAGCCTGATAATGGAATATAGATAAACGAATTTAAGCATTAACTATATTCCTCTATTATAGACAATCCAGATTAACAAAATGGAACGCAAATCTGTTCAGATCCTCGTCTACAATTCTTCTGATAAATGTTCACACAAGGTCAACTCTTTTAAAAGTTAACGATCTTGAAATATAACATTTAAAAGATTTTAATCGTCGCTCATTGTTTATTAAATTAGCAAAAAATTTATTGAACACATCGTTTTTTTTTTCTGTGTGCTGTGGCCACATGCACATGCTTTTTATGTATTAAATTAAATTATCGATATTATAAATTAATTTACAATATACTAAAAATAATAAAAACTCAAAAGATTAGACAGACTCTTACGCAAGACGGATATCATATACCAAAACAAAGTCATATTGCTGCCAGTAATAAAGATTCATTCATATTCTTTTTTTCTTCTTTCTCGGGCTTTGGATTTCCGACTCTTGTCAGAGTCGCGATACCATGCTTTATATTCTTTTCTTATTACAATGCCAGTCTAATGTCTAAATCTTCAGTATCTTTCTCGATTAAAAGTTATTAATAAGATAGGGAAGAGGTTACACCCTCCATCAACGCTACATGCTATGCAAATATTCACCTTACACTGTAACTTCTCTTCTGTTTTCATTCCAGTATCAGAAAACTGTATTCTATTTTTGAAACATCTTTTGTTAATAACTTTTTAGCAATGACTAAAACCTTTTGAATGCTACTAAGCATCATGATCTTGGTAACATATTTAATTTCTATAACCTTTCTTCTTCTTTAAAAGACTTCCTACCAGAATCGCAAGGCAAGTCTACCGTTCTCTATTACAAAATTACACCTGCGTCTACCAGGGTTAATATAGATAGGCGAGAATATTTAAGGCGAATAAATCCACTATACATACATCCTTCAACAAAGTTTCGGTGGAAATATATCCCGTAAAAAAACGTCGGCGACCCTGTAAAGAATCGAAGCTCGTAACAACAACGGGGGCGCAGAGCGTGACCGCCGCGGATTCTTTTCTTTTTTTCCCCGTATTACTGTAAATCCATATTACTATTGATTTGAGGTAGTGTATTCAATGTAATCCTATTACCTTGCTGCTATATGTTGCGTGTGTGGATATGTTGTGTATGTCGTATGAATACTCCTTCGCACACCTATCGCACTTCCGATTGCGAGCCCGGAATTGTTCTTTGTCGTTTATTGTAATATACGTATAAAAAAGTCCGGTGTATGTCTCGTGGAGCATACGAGTGCAAGATGTTTACAGGCCTATTGCAAAATATTATTATCGGCAGTAATCTGACGGGCGATTATGAAAGTGTTATTGATCGATATATATTATTTTTCCAAGCTCGTAGTTCGTGCCGGCCGTAGGTGTGCTTCATAAAATTATCGTCTATGCAATGGAGTATGAAGCCGAATGTCGGACAAATTCCATCGAGACCCCCGTGTCTCGATTTTTCTGTCTTCTCTCTCTCTCTCTCTCTCTCTCTCTCTCTCTTTCTCTCTCTCTCTCTCTCTCTCTCTCTCTCTCTCTCTCTCTCTCTCTCTCTCTCCACCCGCGCGCCCGGGAATTAATCCCGTATATCGATAATGAACGCGCGTTTGTTCGTCTTTCCAGAAACGTTTGGATGTTCCGCAAAAAATCCGTCCGCAATTCGGCGTTTTTCAACTTCATTTTTTTTTTAATACCAAATACGACAAGGCTGCTGACATTAGGCTTGCTAGCACTTTGTAAATAATGCCCAGCGATTGTGCTATTTTGTTTAAGTTTCTCTTTAACTATTACTTCATGAATAATCATTATCACATTTTTTCTTTTTTTTTTTTCTTTAATTAATCGTCTTCACAGATCGTCGAGGAGAGGGGGAGACGTGTGACACATCGTCGGCGCCGCGCCAAGTTGGCTCAATCTATGAACACTTCTGTAAAAAATATAATATCTATGGATGGTTGAGCCCTTGGCCAGCATACGCAAGCGAACCGAGTTAAGTTGCCTCTCTCACAGGGGGAAGGGCAAACTAGGAGGGTGGGATCACTTCTGCATGGAATGAGCAATGACTATATAGTAACGCATATATCTAACACATGTACTCTTTGCTTAGAACAATATGTATCGCTCAACTTTGCTACTCTCTACAACTTCACAGTAAATTCCACTCTATAAAGTTAAATCTCACTCTGAAAAGTGAAATCTCACTCTTAAATTCAGTTTCATCAATTTAAGATTAATTTTAATTTCGATCCAATTTGCCCTTTATCTAATTCTAATTCTAGAATCCTTAGAATTAAAAAAGATAAACAGTGAAACCGAGATTGAAGTTAATCTTATTGGTGAAACCTGGCCTCAAAGATTGAAAATGGAGCCATTCTTTTTCAAGACTGACTGAATTTTCACTCTTTAGAGCGAGATTTCACTCCAAAGAATTTAGAGAGTACGTTAAAGGAACATCTTCCGGGACGTCGTCGACGCCGTGACGAAACGAGAGCCCCACATTTACCGTTAAAAAAATGCAATCTATTTAAGAGGGGAAGAATCACAATCGACAATGCGATTCTTAATCCCCTGATTTGATTGTACAAATATTTCTATTTATCAGACTTGCAGAAGTGATATTTGCCTAAAGTCTTCGTTCGTTCGTTCGTTCCTTCGTTCTTTCTATCCATTACTGTGTGATGTCAAGCTCCCCCTCTCTCTCCCTCTGAGAAATGAAATAAACGGTCAATGGAAATCAAATCTGAGAACATGACGACAATTTTGAATTTTGACACGCTCGTGTTATCCTTATATTACCATCAATATAAGTTTAACGACTTAAAACCAATGCAAAAACAACAGATATACAATGCACAAGCACATTGTAATAATAATAAAAAGACAAATGAGACTTAACGTAAAAACATGACTCACATTCAAATGTTTGTAATAGCCTCAACAGTTTCACCAGGGGAAAAACACAAACGAAACATACATATAATATAGTAAAACTAGTAACTACTTCACTACTCTAAGATAGCGAGAAAATCCTAAGACATGCGATATCAACGGAATATCGTTTTTGCTTCTCTTTTTACTCTTTTTTTTTTCGCTTGTTTTTCCAAAGTGCTTTCCAAAATTTATTCTCAGAAGTTGCGCCGAGTACGTGCAGTTTCTAAAGATTTTTTCCTTTTTAATCTTTTTTTTTTTTTCTTTCTAAATCTCGAGTTTTGTAACTTCTGTGTATTTTTGCTGTGAATGTCTTGTGATTTTTACGCTTTTCGTTAACAATTAATTCAATATCGTCTCTCCTGCTATGTTTACTGATTTCCTCCTCCCTTTCACCGTTCCTATGTAGCTGGAGAATATTTCAAAATAAAGCAGATGAAGAATGTTCTGCTTTTCAACTTTTACGTGTAATTCACAATTTTCAATCCTGGAGCCGTTAAGTTCGCTACTCGATCCAACATTACAATACAATATTACGCTATTACGACACATAATTTCCATTAAGCTCGTATGTGCCATCGTTACGTCGACGTTGTTTCTCATTGCATTCACACTCACGTGAAATACCGATTTCCTCGATGGATCTCGTCTCTTAACTCCACAGATCAAAATTGATCTCTCAGACAACAGTTAAAGATTAAAATCATTATTAACTAGAATTATCAATTACACGACCATTAGTATGTCTTATACAGTAATAAATTACCATCGTGCTATTTTTACTCCACCGTTGACACACGTTGTCTTGTTTTATTACTAGATGTTACGATGTTATCTTTACCTTAACTTAATAACGAGTATTAGTGGCATCTGCTTTTGTTTCGAAGAAGAAGTCGAGTAAATTTATTTTTCTTTTTTTTTACCTTTTACCTTAATCGTTAATGCTGTATGAAACTCCAGGGTCTCGTCCAAAGTCCCAGAGTCATTTCTTCATCATGCTCTTAATGATGCCGTTTTTTCTTGAAACCTGCAACGTGAATTCTCGACTTTAGTATATTTTTTTATCGACACAATTTGCGTGGTGCTGAAATAAAGATCTCTTACTCTTTTTAGCCTTGCCCTTCCTTTGAGCTTTTCTCTTCTTGGCGGTCTTGGTGGATGACTCCCCGAAAGTAGTGATCTCGTCGCCGAGAGTGCCCAGAGTCGTCATCTGGCGACGTCTGTGCTTCTCCTGCTTGGTGACGGGCAAACGTGTCATATAATTCTCTTCATATTCGATCTTTCGCTTGTCTTCGCGCACTAGAATCGCTCGCTTCTCGCCCAGACCCTGACTGTCCTCCACAGGTGCATCCAGATACTCTTCTTTCAGTTCCCGCAGCACCGTATTCGACACAGCACGTCTACGAGCTCTTTCGCCGGCCTTGCGAATCTTCTCCGCCATTGTTTCGTCGCCATCTGGAGAAATTACGAGATTCGAGGATGAATGAGCAAACCAGAAAAGCAACTTAAAACAATTTAAGCAACCCATGAAATTGGATGCTTAAATTATTAATATATTCCATGTCTTCTTATGCTGGATTTTCCTTTCAGGCCATTCAATTATTTTAACAATGAAAAGAAATGTAGTTCTCATTTTTTTATATACATGAATGCATAACAATGATGATGTCTTAAGCCTTCTACTTTATAATTCTTGTTAATTATTAGTAAAGTACACATTATTTAATGAATACAACAAACACAAACTATGGGAGCTTTCCAGCAAAGATCATAAACTGACAATGACCTTCTATTTTTCCAAAAATATCAAATCACTTAAAATTGAATCAGAAACAAAATAAAATATGTAAAATTGCATTGCCATTATATGGAAAATGTTAACAAATTAAATATCATTTCTATATGATGTATAAAGCTAAAAATTTTCTCTAAGTTCAGAACTAACCATAATGCATTGCAGCGAGTTTTGGCGGCACGTAAACGTTAGATTTCCTGGACTGTTGCGTTGATTTGACATCGTCCTCATCTTCCTCCTGATCGCTATCCGAGTCTTCGCTGTCAAGCTTGGCAACCAGTGCATCAGGATTCGCTCTGTAGTTACTGGGATCGTTGCTGTTGATGGTGCCTGTTACTGCCGTCTTGACGAGCTTATCTATTTGGTATTTAAGCTTGTGATCTATTGGTCGGATTTTCTCTAGGACAGTCCTAATCTCTATCAGACGGTCGATCGATGGGTCACCCTCAATGCGCTCGCCGGAACATTTTCTCAGGACGACATAGGTCAGGTTGATAAGATATGAGAGCAGCATGTGGTACTTCATTTCTAGGAAGCTGAGGCCTTTGTCTGTTGAGATTTCGCCATTCTTCACGCGTACCAGCATGTTGTCAACAAGCTGATTTACTTGGAGGACATTGGCATTCATTTCTCCCAGCAGGCGGAACGCCTGTGGGAGATCCCTCTGCTCCATCTCATCGATAGCCTGCAAAAGCAGTAAAAAACTATTAAGAACACTTTCTAGCAAGAGACAAACGACACAGTGCAACACAGAGTGCTTTTCATTTGATAATAAAAGATGATACAGATATCATTCTATCCTTTTGATATTCAACACAAGTAATAAAAATAAAACAAAATTAGCATTAACTTGTATTATCAAATAGAAAGTACTTGTAGTGAATTATTATGTTCTTGTTTATCAATGTTAAATGAATCCTCCATAACAGAGAAAGATCTCCAGGAGACATTTTAAAAACATCTACAGAATATTCTAAGAATATCTCTGATATCCTAAAGACATATAACTTTTGGATATTCTAAAGTAAACTGTATTATCAATGAATATTCTAAGCGTTCTTTTATATCCTTTAAATATCCTAAGGATATTTCCATAAAAAACAGACCTTCAAGAAATATCTTATGCAAATACAGAAATCCAGAAGCTATTTCTAGCCTGTTCTCTAAATGTCCTAAGGATGTTTCCAGAATGTCTCTAAAATTTGCTGTGTGGATCTTTATGTTGCTTAAATATTCTAAGAAGGTTCTTATGACTTTTGAATAATTTTACAAAGACATCCCTTTAAACAATCTAAGGATATTCTTATATCTTCTGAATTTCCAGAACGACGCTCGAATAAAACATGCTGCATAAGACAAAATAATTCACTATTACAATATGTCATCTGCACCTCTTACTGGAAACCACCCTAAAAAAAAAAGTAATAATTAATTCCCGAGTCTTACGATCATCGTCGCGACTCCCGATGCGATCGCGGAAGAATCAGAGCGAGTCACGTCGTTTATTTACGTTCGCGAACACTTTCCCGCGCGCATAGGTTAAGCAGAGGCACGAAACCGCCGGGACGTTCTTCTCGCGAAACGCCCACGCGAGCGGCGAGTCTCCGCGCGGAACGCGGCGGTCCCGTGCGGGCGAGCGCGGCGGGCAACGCGTACGTTCCAGCGATCGCGACGTTTCATTCAAAAAGGAAGAAAGGAACGGTGGTCACACGGCGTGTCCCATGCGTGGAAATGCACTCGGCGGGCAATTTCGGCGGTAATTACGTCGAGAAACTCGTCCCGGGTCGCTACGGTGACCCGGGAAAAATGTCCGCCCGGGACCGAAGGCACGGGGGAAAAAAGCGCAATAATCTGCTGCCATCTTTCCTATTTACTAATGGATGACAGCGGAGGGAAAAAAAAAAACAATCAAAAATTCCCGTCGGCGACACGGCGAGAAAAACGCAGCGGATCTCGCGCGGCCCGGTCGCATCGCGCGGCGAAAACGCGCGGACGACACGCCACTCACCTGCACCATGCTTCCGCGTGAAAAATCAGCCGGACAGACGCATATCCAAACAACGTAACTTGTAATTAAACGAGTCCCCACGTGGGACGATATTTTCCTTTTCGGGGGTATATTTTTTCGGCACAGGAAAAGTCTGGTCAACTGAGCGACTGTCGCGAGTGTCCCTAGGACGTAACGAGGACGGATTTCTCGGTGCGACTTTCTCGCACGAACGACACCACGGAATTTTTCCGCGTCCGGAGCACGGCGAACGTTAACGTTCCCCGCGCGAGAGAATTGCGTGGATATTGCGTTCCGAGTCTCAACGAGGCGATACTTCCGGTTGTACGACGAGAGGTAGTAGCGGCGCCATCTTCGAAACGTAATCGCGCGTCCTTGGGACGAAGATGAGATTGTTAATCGATGGTACAAATCGACGGAAATTTTGCCATTTGCGACGCGTACGACGAGGCTGTGGAAATCGTCGGTTATCTCTGTGCGTCTATATTGCATTCAATCGATTTCCTGACTGAGTTTGTTTTTTTTTTTTCCTTTGCCTTTTTTTCTTTCGTCCCTCTAAACGACGCGTCGTCGTTCTCGTAGAGATGGCGCCCGGGTGTTTATAATATTGCCATGTTGGCACTACTTACTCCTGCTCGTGTCATTTCTGCCAACTGCATTCTATAAAGCCACTGGGCACTGGCATGGCGGAGAGAACTTCAGAGACGGTCTTTTCAGGCTTTTCGTTTTGTGGGAATGAGGTGCATTCACATGCATCCGTCAAGCAGCGGAAGCAGCAACCAATCAGCGAGACGATATAGCCAATGGCGAAGAAAATATTTTTCACGCCGCTGCTCACATCGCTTTGCTGATTGGTTGCTGCTTCCGCTGCTTAAACGCTTGAAGTTGACTTTTCATCTTTGAGCTGATTTTTCATGTGCAGCACGCTACGGCAGCAAAATGTCATGTGATACAAATTTTCGAGAACTGATTGGAAGTGCGTCATTTCACAAAAGAGATTTTTAACCAGTAATAACATTTCGCTGTTGCAGCGTACTGCGCATGAAAAGTCAGCCTGACGGTTGCAATCGACCATGATTGTTGATTAATTTCTTACTGCACGACATGCGACAACAGTCAACAGCTCCTGACCTATTGTAAAATAGGCTAAGGGCCAATTTCACCAACGTCGGTTAAGCTAACCGACGGTTAATTCCAATGGAATTATCCAATCGCATTTGTCTTTGACCAGAATGAACCAATCACGGTTGACACTTTAATCGTCGGTTAGCTTAACCGATGTTGGTGAAATTGGCCCTAAGCGACCGAAATCGTTGACCAGAACCAAGACTAGAACCTCAAAATTCGTGGACATTAACCGACGGGATTGTGGACATTGGCTACGTAGTTCAATGTCTTCGGCTTGTGGACATAGAGGCGCTTCAAAATAAAGTAACAGCTAAATTCCGGATAATCGGGCATGGCTTTTCAAGCTTCTCTCTGCTCCGCCGCAGCTAGGTCAGCGCGCGGGCGCACACGCAGTAGCAACTTTACTGTGGATGGATCGCTGAGGCAGATGTGGGGGTGTGGGGCTGGCACTGCTGAGTGCTGACAGTAGAGTAAAGGAGTTGGTGTTGTTTGTGGTGGCGGCAGCGGCTTAGATCGAGGGCGAGAGACACTACGAGTGACACCGTGGCGCGCACCCTTGCCAAAAGAGTCGTAGTAATCGCGTAGAATGGTAGGTGTGACCTAATTCACTCGTAATCCATCCCTCGGAGAATCTACGTGGCCGAGCATGACATGACATGGCCTCGCCGTGGCTGTCGTTTCTTCTGCGCGTTTACTCGCTAATGAATCTCTCTCAGAACTAGAATGACAGCTCGCGGCGTCGATCACTTCTTGCTAATCGACGCTCGTCATGCGTTCCTTCCCCGCAATTTTTCCGCGCAACACGTATAACTTCGATATTTCATTCCACTGTAAATGTTTACAGTATCGCGATTACTTGCCATTGGATCTTTATAGGTCCGTTGTAAACCTGACCGTAAAAACGATAATTTGACATCTCGTTAATATTTTTTTTCTACTTATAAAGGACTTTTATAAGCTTGTTCTTTTTAGCTGAATTTCTTACACGGTTTATCTTTCTGCTTTTTTTCTCTCTGTTGAAGAAAACAAGAGAAAGGTGAACCTGCAAGACATTCAGCTAAAAAAAATGGGCTTTATTATTATACATTGGTTGCATAAGCTTTTATTTAATACTATTTTATTATTATTATATTGATGAGACAGTTTTTCTTAAGAATAATTTTTTTCATTTTCTACACATTCCTAGTTTAATCAGATTTAATATCTTGTAATGTTATTGCCTGTTATTTTTGTGCTAATTAATAACATCTTTTAATACAGGGAAGATTACAAAAGAATGGTGCCGTGCTAGTGATAATGTGCCTCCTGATAGAGACAAATGGCTTCTATGTACCTGGAGTTGCTCCAGTGGAGTTCAAGAAAGGCCAGAAGATAGACGTTAAAGCAGTCAAGATGACTAGCACTCATACACAATTGCCATACGAATATTATTCCCTTCCGTTTTGTTTACCCAAGAATGGTACCTTCATTTATAAATCTGAGAATTTAGGAGAGGTGTTGCGTGGTGACAGGTGAGATTTTCCAAAAGAAAACATTTAATTTAAAAAGAAAACTGTTATCATAATTATTTTATGTAACATAATTATATTCCAGTGAGAAATGACAATGAAATAGATGTCAATTTGATGTTGATTTGATGATTTCAATGTTAAATCGACATCAATTTAATGTCGATTCCATTGTCATTTCTCGCTGAGATGTAATATATATTATATATAATTTTATGTTTTATTATATTTGGAAAAAGTTAATGATTTCAATTTTTTAACAATTTTATGACTACATGGAAAATGTATGGATCCTAACATAGTAACTACCTCACTTTCTTATATATGTTTAATAAGCACTAAAAAAGATCTAGATAAAACGTTTATGACACAATTTGTCTGTGACATTTTTAAAAAAGATGGTGAATAGTTAAAATTCATTGAAGTTAAAAATAGAATTAAAAATAAGAAAACTGATATGTAACTTTGTATAAAACTAAAAAAAATAATACTGAATTTAAAGCCGGTATTTATAATCAGTTCCTATTATTAAAATTTATTTTAAATTTCTTTGAGATTTGTGACATCTTAAAATTGTACCTAAAACAGTGTAGATATAAGAATCAACTATGAATACCAATTTATGTAGATAATTAAAAATAAAAAGGTATAAAAAAATTAATAATTTAAGATATATTGAATTGGATCTCAAATGTGGTAATGACGAGCCTGTTAAAGTGAAAATATAGTTTTAATAGTTATCTTTGTTTTTCAGAATAGTGAATACTCCATATGAAGTTGTAATGGCAGAAGATATCATCTGCAGATTACTGTGCCACGAACCATCCAAGTTGATGACTTGGAACGAAGCTAATTCCCAGCACGTTATCCAGATGATTCAGCATGAATATTTCGTACACTTGTTAGAATCTTATTATTATACGTAAAGCTGAGATCACAGGATGCTCGATTCTTGAATAATAAACATGCATGTTTCTATGCTTGCTTTGAGTGTGTTTGGACAGACGCCTATTTTATTGATAAATGATAAAGATAGAATATGACAAAAGTAGCGGTAATATACTGAGAAAAAAATTTACTAAATTTTAATAAATATTTCTTTGAATAGTCGAAATATTTACTAAATGTAAACACATATTTATTAGATACAAGAAGCATTAGTTTGGTTTAACTATCATTTTTTTTATTTAAGGTTTATGACTACGATAAAATTTTCAAAAAATTGAAGAAAGAATTTTGCTTTTTCAGTGTTTTGTCATCACAAAAATAAGTAGCAATTGAATTTTTATAACGAAAAATTTTTTTTAACTAAATTAGTGCATATATCATAAGAAACGCTATAGTGCCGCCAAGTGTTTTGGAGCGCGTCGCATCGCGTGCTTAGACGTTTCAGTTCTCCAAGTAAAAGAACACTTACCATCGAATGCTAGCTTCAAAAAAAGAGATGTACTTGATGCTAGTATTCCTTAGAAACACAACACTAGAGTGTAACATCAGTATAACTTCAACGGTGTTTCTAAGGAATACTAGCATCAAGTAGTACAACTCTTTTTTTGAACCTAGCACTGTTGAAACTTCGCTGTTTAAAACGTTTTTTAAATCGGCTTGACAAATAATTTCAATAATTTTTTTTTATTCAAAGAATTATTATTAAAATTACTATTTAAAGAAATATTTATTAAACTTTAATAAATTTTTTTCTCAGTGTAGTATCCCTTTAAACATACATAGAAATAAATATAAATAATATGAACATAAACAACATAGTAATAATAAACACAAATTACGTATACTGCGCTTAATGCATAGACAAATTCTAGTATATCAGAGCAGGCAGCGTGCATGCTTATCGTTCAAGAAATCGAGTATCGATGTGATTCCATCTTAACAAGAAAATGCATTGCGTCGTCTACATTCTAGATTTTTTCAGATTAATAGATAATCTACCAGCGGCTACTAAAACGAAGCACAAAGAAACTAATAACGTGGTAGTTTATCAAGGATATCGCTTAGGCGGAACTATGAATGATCAAGTGTACATCAACAATTATCTTAAGCTAAAATTAAGCTATCACAAACACGGCGAGTTAGTATCTATTCCGTACATATTTACAAGAGAGTTTACAGAATTGAGGAAAGCCTATAATAAAAACGATTATTTTATTTACAGAAACGAGTTTAGAGTAGTCGGATTCGAAGTGGAAGCTCGATCTATTGACACATCTCAGTTAACATTCGACGGGAATACTTGTATTTTACCGAGCGAGGCGAGTCCGCAGTTTGTCAATCCGAAGGGCACAAGCCTTCTCTTTCTATACTCGGTGGAGTGGAAACAATCAGATATCAGCTGGGCGAGTAGATGGGACGTGTATCTTGGCATGAGCGATGTAGAAATTCACTGGTTCTCGATTATCAATTCTCTTATGGTCGTCTTCTTTTTATCGGGTGAGAATTTTGATTGTGATGTTTATCATTGTGTTCTAAATTCACTACCAGCATTGAAAATCTAATTTACTGTAAGCGACTACAATTGAAAAAAAAAAATTAGACATTTCTGCCGGGATTTGAATCGTGGCCTAGAGTTCCCAAGAGCTTTTTCAATAAGCTCTTCCTAATATTTTCTTTTTTTCCCCTTCTTATCATCCTCTGTTCTCAGTATGTTTTCCTTCTTGACATTACGTTATCTGACTTCGTCGAAATCAGCTGTTCTTGCAAATTTGCTTCAAAAATTTAAAAACCACTTATGCTACTACGATGTGGATTACTATCTCTGCGTTTTTCTCTCTTTTTATTAATGGACTCTCAACTTTTATATTGATAAGGTACATTATTATATTTATATATATCGTTAACTTGCATGTACTTAATATTAATTTCTTTTATTAACGGTCACTTTTTAGAATATTACACACTTTCATACTACCTTGATTTGTCTACGACTAATTTATTCTGGTTTAATCGACTCGCAGCATTACATGAAGAATGCGAAAAATATATCTATAATATACTCACTGTAACATTGAGAATGACACCGATCGGCGTCGAATCGTATGTTCTTCGTAATTATTATCGTTTTCATGATTTAAATTAAAATTCTTTGTTACATTATTGGCTCTTTGCCCTCTATATTATTTTCTAATAAGAGACTAGGGTTGGAAAAAATCCGGACTTTTTAAAAAAAAAAGCTCATCTAATTGGGTACTATTGGGGTTTTTTTCTTGGGGAGGGGAGTTGGATTTTTAAAATAAAATTGAGTTTACGTTGTATTTATCATTATTTAATTATGTATTCAAATAAAATTAATTATAAAAAATTTTGTAAATTATATAGTGATAAATTTATCAAATATAAAAATCCATTTTTATAGTGAAATTAAAGAAATAATGACACTATATATCATAAAATATATATATATTAACATTTATATGAATAATTTACCGCTTAATGCCTAAACAAATTTTTGTTAAAAGAAAATTTGGTATTAAATTGTATAATCTTTAATACAATTTCAATAAAATTCAAAAATATCCACAAATTTCGAATTTTGTTAAGCGAGTAAAACCCAGAAAAACACAGAAGTTTTTTTGGAGTAGGTAAAATAATGCCAACCCTGTAAGAGACACAGATGACACAGAACAACATAGTGAATTATTATATGTCTATTGTGTCTACTACACATATTTTACATAGCTAGAATATTGCATATGGCTAAAATCGCAATGTAATTGCGATATTCGTAAATATTCAGAAATACGCCTGCAAGTTTGTATAGAATAAGTTCTTAGAAAAAAGGTACAATAAAAATTTTTTAGGATATCTCACTCAATCTGCATGAAAATGTATTGTTATTTATCAGGCGCTTGGGGGGCTATAAATATATAAATAATAAAATAGAATATATAAATATGTAATTGAAAAATATCAATAATTTTGCTGTATTTTACATAATTAAAAATGTTAATTTCTGAATATGTATTTGTTGCAGGAATTCTTACGATGATCATGGTAAGGACGCTCAGAAGGGATATAGCTCGTTACAATGCGGGCGAGAGTGACAGTCTGGGAGGTCTGGATGAATCCATCGAGGAGTCAGGCTGGAAATTGGTCCATGGAGATGTATTTCGACCACCCAGCAACTCACGCTTATTCGCCGCCGTGATCGGCAGCGGCATCCAGATATTTTTCATGGCTTTGATTACGATATGTAGGAATATATTGAATCTTATCAATGCAACGTAGAGTATAGCGAGTATATGTTTATTTACATCTATCTGTATCTCTGCAGTCTTTGCGATGCTGGGAATGTTGTCGCCGGCGAGTCGAGGAGCTTTGGGAACCTGTGCGATATTTTTGTATGTGTTCTCCGGTTTAATTGCCGGTTACTTCTCGGCCCGATTGTACAAAACTATGCGGGGTCGAGAATGGAGAAAAGCCGCTTTATTGGTAAAAATATAGACTATATCTATTTAATAAGACCTGAATTATATGCACTTCTATCAGTGTAGATTAACTTTAATCTCTCTTTAGTTTTAGAGATTAAAATTAAGTCTTAATATTGGTAGAAACGGACATTAGTCGTATAACGCAAATATATTTTTCTACACAATTAACATATCTATATTTTCCCCCAATTTATTAACGAAATTTATTAATAATAGTATATCCTAGTTTCTAACGTATAAGTATTGCAGACAGCGACGTTTTATCCGGGTATAGTCTTCACGACGTGTTTCTTCCTAAATTTCTTCATATGGGGAAAACACAGTTCCGGTGCGGTGCCCTTCACCACGATGGTAGCTTTGCTGTGCCTCTGGTTTGGCATCTCGCTACCTCTTGTCTATCTTGGTTACTTTTTCGGCTATCGTAAGCAGCCCTTTACGCATCCAGTTAGAACGAATCAAATTCCCAGACAAGTTCCTGACCAGCTATGGTATATGAATCCAATATTGTGGTAAGTCCGGGAAGATAATTTAATCGATTTTTCTATTACTTCACGTTATTAATAATAGAAATAATCACTGAAGTATTTTTATATTAAATATTCTGTGTGCACTCCTGTTCGCGACTTTAATGTAAATTGTAAGTTGATCTCTTTCTTCGATTAATCATAAAAACTTTGGTCGCTTTTACCGTCTAAATATATTTGTACATTTATATATTAGCTTCTTTAAAATTAATATAATATATAATTAACAGAATAATTTTCTGTTATTAAATATTAATAAAGGAAATATTGCTTGTAGCACTCTAATGGCTGGAATCTTACCATTCGGCGCGGTATTCATAGAGCTCTTCTTCATCCTAACTGCGCTCTGGGAAAATCAGTTTTACTATCTTTTCGGATTTCTATTCCTTGTTTTCTGTATCCTTATAATTTCGTGCTCGCAGATATCAATAGTCATGGTCTACTTCCAGTTATGTGGCGAAGTAAGTATAATGAGAAAATTACAAAAAAAATCTCTTTGATTTAATATTCAACGTGATTTAATTTCTTTTTTCGTAAGAATTATTTTTAATTTAGACTTTGAACTTAGATTTGCTATGTTCTATTCTTTACAGTTTAGACTTAAATATATCTCTTACTTTTCTTGATTCGTAAAATTTCTATTTCTTTGTACATGAGATATATATATATATATATGAAAAATATAGATATGTTCTTATTTTCATGCTGTGATGTCTTAATTCCAGGATTACAGGTGGTGGTGGCGCAGCTTTATCGTGAGCGGTGGATCCGCAGTATACGTGCTGGCGTATTCTGTTTTCTATTTCGTCACCAAACTAAAGATCACCGAGTTAGTGCCGACTCTGATGTATTTCGGTTACACCGCGCTTATGGTCCTCACATTCTGGCTATTAACCGGCACGATCGGTTTCTTCGCCGCATACGCCTTCATCAGGAAGATATACGCGGCCGTTAAGATAGACTAGTCAAATCATTAGTAGAGTAATGCGAGCGAATAAATTTAGACTTTTAATTTAACCGAGCGAGAAAGAGGAGAGACAGAGAGCGAGTGAAGAGAAGGAGTGACAAAGAAGCAAAGAGCTAATATTTCGTATTGTGTAGAACGATAAGTGAAATGAATATCTCAATGGATGCATTTCATCTTCCACGAAATTTTGAAACTGCGACCGTTGCACAGAATTTTGTGATTAACGTGTACGAATTTGATTATATTGACATTAAGGTTTCTATTTGTTTATTCTGTTGCATCTGTTATAATGAGTGCAAGCTCCACGTTCGTCGCCCAGGATTTGCAGAACCATCGCGAATATGAAAATTAAAAATAACAGGAAAAAAATGAATATTGAAAGCACATTTTCAAGATAGCATATTTTGTTTTCCTCTTATTTTTTTTCATTCATTTTTCTTTAAACTAAATATTCAGCGAAGAGAAAAAGATTAAAAATCTTTGTTTTAAGAGAAAACTAACTTCGCAATTTTTTTTATAGGAAAAAGATCAACTTTTTATACTTGTAAATGTGTATATAAAATACGCGTATGAGGAAGGCACAAATGCGGAGCTTCAGTGTAATAATATCAGTGTATAGTAATAAATTTATTTTATTTATATAATTTTTAGGTTTTTTCCGTAAGTACTTATGATTTGACACAAACACACACGAGAGAAAATAATCGATCTGATCCACAAATGTTGGCTATATCAATAATGATCCTTGTCGAAAAACAAGAAACTATAAAAATATTCAAGTAATGTGATATTAGTAACAGTCAATGTGCGAAAGTATTATATAGCCGATAAAATGAGCCAGTCTAAAGAGTTATCGTTTTATTTATGTAAGAACACAACATACAATTTCGCAACTGTCAATCGATCATTATTATAATAACAAGCGCAGTATATTATTAATAATAATATAATTTGTAATATTTACATTTTCAGTACAAGTACATATTTTCATTCTTCAACTTTTGGATGTCGTTATCGTAAACTGCAGCGCGCCCAGTTCCGCTGAGACTCGACTTGTCATTTCTTTTATGGTACACTTACGTCGATACTTATATATAAAATCCTTTTATAAATGTGTCTCGAGTTCTCCGTAATAGAATTCTATGTACATCGAGATATTGACATCGTTACAATTAACAATATATCACAAAGTGTTTTATACTATTATTGTTGTAAATAATACGTGATGGCTAGCGTGTACGAAAAATGTATACAGATATGTCCTAATTTTGACAATTGTATCCTCCAGAATTTGCATTGTATACAGAGTGTCTCGTTAATATTTCAGAGAGTGAAAGAAGATGAAATTTTGAACTAAAAGTTCCTTCACAAGTTTTGGTTCAGACCATTATTTACCAAGTTATTGACGATTAAAGTTGATCAATCAGAGAGCACGAGTATGCAGGAGCGTAGCATGCCATGGGACTTCTCGCACTTGCTATACATTCTCCCGATTAAAAATTTATTCTAATTTTTCATATTAAATAATAAATAAATCAATAAAAGGGTGGATATATAAATAAATAAATAAAATAAAATAAAATCTATAATATAAAATAAAATATATTTATCCAACACAAAATAAATATCTATCTAAAATGAAATAAAATAAAGTAAAATAAATAAAAATAAATAAATCAAATCTAATATAAAATAAAATACCTCTCTAAAATAAAATAAGGTAAATAAATTCTATTTAAAATGAAATATTTATCGTAAACGATTTACTTATTTAATTGTTTTATTTAAAAGTAATCATTATTTACAAAAAATTTTGGTAAATGCCAAAAAAATACATTTTTTATTTTTTAGGCGTTTTTTAGATCTAAAAAAAGACTGATTATTATTCAATAGAGCCTTGAAAAAAAAATCGGTCTCTGAAATATTGATGAAAAGATACGGGACACTCTGTATAAAATTATTATACGTTCATTCGCGTACGAACGTATTGTAATAGTTAGTCAAGGCATCTTCTCAAACGCGAGTATGCGTGCCGTCTTGGCCTGAGTTTTATAATCAAATATATCAGTATGCATAGGAGACTACATGTATAAATAACAATCACAGTAGATTCCACGGGCATGTAGCACTTGGAGACGGAATAATTGCTGGGAGTGAAAGTACCCTGAAACAGAAATAATTCATGGATATATTGTGTTCCAATGGATTAGGGATAACTAATTCATCGAAAGAAAGCCATAATGATAAAAAATATAAAGAATTCCGTTAATTAATATAAAAAATTCAGTTAAGCTCTTCTGAAAATTCCTATCTAATACCAGAATCATTAAATAGTTATTTAAATAATTCCATACCTGGAAGTCAGATAATAAAAAGTTTGAGGAATATTATTTATCATCAAAATATTATTTTTGACAATAATAAATAATACTTCTTAAATTATAACGATATTTTTGTATCCCTTCATTTTTATTTCTTTACTTTTTATAGCTGAAGTTATAATATTCTCAAAAATGAAGAATTGATTGTTGATTAAGAAAATCTCAAAGTTAAGTTTTACCATTAGGAGAGATGGGTTAACTTTATTGCGCCAGCTGAAAGATGAGATTGTGAATTCCAGAATGTCATCCCGATGTATCCTTCTGCAGCCGTGATGAGTGTGGCCAGCGACGATCAGTCGCGGATTCAATATATCTAGAAGCTACAAAAATCGAGTTTCACCTTAATGTCGAAATACGTGGTTGTGCTATTTAATGAAGTTATCAAATGTACCTGCTCCGAAGCTTCTTTCGACAAGCATTCCCAACGTTCTCGGAACTTGATGGCCTTCAACTCATCGGGAGCCTGATCCAATTCGTTGCAGATCTCATCTGATTCTCGATACATCGGATAATGCTAGAGAAGAGACGATAGTTCTGTTAATTTTTCAAATGGAATTTTTTCTCAAGTACAGATTTCTATCATAATAAGAGCTCTCTAATAGATGCCTATTGAGTATCAAAAATTTAATTATGATATTATTTCAGTAGTTTAAGTCCGAAAAAATTGCGGCGCGCAGTGAATACAACAACAAATATGGTATATATGCATGTACATATATAGTATATATTAATTTACATTGAATTAGTTAAGCATTAAAAGATCCAGCTTCGACTGTTACTCCAGGATTTCCTATTTTCTATTTGTTACGTTTTTCTTAGGTAACTTTAAAAGTTAAGTCTTGCGATTCTTCGGAATTGCTAGTTCCCATACTATTTGTGAAAATATTTTATTTACGAATCAGGAAGACTGACTTGCAGTAATATAGGCCTGCTGTATCTGGAAATCGCGCTGACATTATGACAATCGTTGCCGATTCTTCTCGCACATTTTAGATCCTCTGCAATATAATACACACATAGACCTGTATTCAGAACGCGTTTTTATTGATAAAAGCGTGCTTTTATCTCTGAAATTCTATAATATGTGTAACATTGTTGTAAGCACGTTCTAAATACGGGCCACAAAGTTTAATAATTAATCAGTTACGGAAAGGCATAATACACTCAGAGAAGACATTGAACCGTATTCATTTACATCTCGTTTTTATCGATAAATGTGCGTATTTATTTTTGAGATTCTATAATATATACAGCACAGATTATATGCCAAATTTATTAATAAAGTGAAATATGAATACGGACCATAGTGGTAATAACTCGCAAGTGTGTGTTTTATATATAGAATTTATCTGTATAGTTGAAGCTATTTTATCATTATTGCATATAGAAAACATTACATTAATTCTACATAAAAAGAAAACTTGTATTGTTGTCACCTTTGTGATTGTTACCACTATGTTTTCCTCTGAGTGCAGTATAAGAACGCACGGATGATAGCTCACTGGCTATTTTATTCACTGCGATTTCGGTCGGTCGACACAGGAAACAACCGTCCCCTTCTAATGCCATGCTGTTGATCAGCACGAAATGATTGTCTCTTAGACTCAACCGTCGCACGTTCAGACTTTTCATGCCGTTAATAAAACGCTGATTGCGGTACGGCGTAATTGCTGAAAGCATATTCCAGGAGTTCAGCCAGAAATATGTTGTCAAAATATATGTTTGTATCAGGATTTGAAAAATCATTGAGGGGTTTTTTGTAAAAGAGTTTTTAGGGTTTTATTAGGTTTTATGCATTTTTATTCTTTAAAGTCCAATATTAATGGTTAGCAAAACTTACTATTCAATATAATATAATAGATAATTATATTATATCAATTAATTTCAACCTAATTAATTTAATTTAATTTATTAATTAATGTAATATACACGCACATATACCTGTATAAAAAGCATTATAATTTCTATGTCAACCCGATCAGTCTTTGAGCCTGATCACTGATTTATTTAATTTAGTTTTTGACAAAAAATAATTCCATCACGTGTGATGTTTATATTCAATGGTTCATATTCAATTTAAATACAAAAAATTGTACTGGATTTGTTATTGTACAAGACAGATTAAAGATATATTCTTTGCCATACCATAATGAAATCCCATATCATGGTTTCCAGCGACGACATAGATACGCGTGTCTTTAGGCACGTAGAATAGGGAATGGAATCTCTTTATGTAGTATTCGAACTCTGCGGAGCCGCACCATTTGCCCTCGTCAAAAACATCTCCTGAATATTACGAGATAATGAAATAGCAAGTCTTTAAACTGTATCAGAGATCGAGATTAGATTGGAATTTAATTAGAAGAAAAAAAAACCAATATCTAATTTAGTGAACTTTTGTCAAATTCCAACCAATAATATATTAAAGCATTACTCACCTAATACAAAAACTACATCCATTCGGTGTAATGTCATCATTGTTTGGAATGCTCTGTACATCTGCCATTCTCTAAAGTAACATATATCAGTTTTTGCAGTAGATATCCAAAAATGCATTATATAAAAAAATCTTTAATATTTAATATCATGGTGTCCATTGAAATCTGGCTAGTAAATTCAAGCATCCAAAGATATTCAAGGATCACTGGATGCCATGAATATGTGAGACCTGTTCTCTTTAGCTGAACTTTTTGCATGGTTCATCATTTCTCTTTTTTCCAACATGGAGAGAAAAAGAGGAAAGATAAACCAAGAAGTTTAGCTAAAACAAACAGGCCTATAGTTGAAATTAAAGACTTAGACGTACAAACCTTCGTAGTTTATCAAACCAGTGGCCTTGTTTGGAACCTAATAAATGGGTATCCGCTATAAACATAGCTTTGACAGGTTTGTCTGATGCTTCTCTATGTAAAGCAGGATTTTCTTTCCGAGGGTCCAGAGTGGGCCATTCGCACTAAAAATCAAAGCAATTTCAAAGTTTTCACCAAGAATAGAAATTCGTTGTTCCTAAGCAGGATATATTTTTGCATAACACAGAAACATCATGATAACTCACCTGTATAAGCACCACGTAATATATGAGATATTCGCAGAACAACAATACAAATGCTAAAGCTAAACCCACATTGAGAAGTACTCTGAAACGCAGCATATTTGAAACTCCTCAAAACTTATACATTTTTTTAAATACAATTTTTTATTTTATATTTATAGTTCTGACAATGTCATTTCTTGACTGCTGTGCAGTGTGTAAATCATATATGTAATTAACATAAAACTACTGTATTGTTGATCATTGCTGATGGATTTCAAAAGTTGCAGAAAACATTAAGTTAATCGAAATCAATTATGGAGATCAATGGAGATACTGCAGACTGCAGACCAGTGCAGACATCAACCTCTCACTTTTTCTAGCACATGCGTACAACATTTATCATTTTATAGTTAAGCCGTATTTTCTCTGTCTCGCTTTCTCGGATCATACAAGATATAATATTACGTATATTGATTATTTTTTTATTTTTGCACTAAAATTTTCTTTTCCGCTTTCGCCAAATTTCAAACACATTTATATCTATTTCATTTTAAATATAGAAAATGGATACTAATTTAGTTACAAAAGTAAACCTGATGTAAACAATACAGAGAATATCTAACCTAACCTAAATATGACCTAACATAACCTTAAATTTGATGTTAGGTGCATTCGGCACTCGAGCAGTTTTTCCTTGTTTGACATTTGATAAACAGGATGGAACTGGATGGAACTCATGGAACGATTCCACGAGCGTTGTAAGCGTTAAATGGAACGCAGTCCGAGTTATTTACAAACAGATTGACATGTAATCAAAATGCTTTTATTTGAAAAGTGGTATTTATAAGACAATTGTATCCTATATTTTCTGTTTCAACGGGGTACATGAAAATGTTTTATAATTTTATATTTCATAAAAGTATACAAGTGTTTTGTATTTTGTACTTCAAACATTAAGCTTGATAATTAATTTTATTATTTAAATTACGAAATATATAAATTTTTTAATCTTTCAATTTTAAATACTATAAATACATAAGCTCAGCTCTAAAATAGATTTATAAGCCTTAAGCCATAAGAAACAGACGAATAACAGTTAATTATTCTCCTCGCGTTCGACTGCAATTTCTTACGGATTAAGACTTAAAACACTTATTGTAGATCCAGACTAATACTTTCATGTTGTGTGTAATACAAAATATACTTTTATCGCAAAAATTGTGCTTTAAATAAAAGTATTTCAAATACATATCTAGGCCTATTCACAAATTTAATAATATAATTATTCATGTGTTTCATTGATAATTACAAAAATTTTTATAAAAATTTATCCAAATTTAATTATTAAATTTTTTTTTAATGTCTTTCTTTTCCTTCTTAGAGTTGGTCTTACTTTAGAGATGCATCTGAAATCTAAAATATATATAGAATTCATCATCAATATGATATGTTTTCCTTATCTTTTTAGTGTTCATATACGTTGTATCAAATATAAACATAATAGAAGAATGCTGGCGAAAGAATTAGATTTCAATTTATTTAATATACATATAAATATGCTTATACTTAAACGTTTCTCACTTACAATTGTCAAAAATATATCTTCCATTTTACGATATCAAACGCCTCGCGTACATTCCGCATAAATTCTAAGATTCAACACGGTATAAAATGCACAGTATATAAAATACAATCAGTCTCATGCGATACAATAAGTGTCTAAATTAACATCATGCTAACGTTAAAATCTATCTCTTAAAAGAATGATGTATAGAAAAGTGATGATTTGACAACAATATAAAAGTCAATTGGTAATAACCAAGACACGTTAAAGTATACACAAAATATAAAGGCGCTACAAAATAAATTAAGAAAACAATGTAACATTAAATTTCCCTAATGATTCTACAAGCAACTTGCGTCGTTAATTATATCAGCCATCATCTGCTTGTCCTGCAAGGCTGTGTCCAACTCTTCTTGATCCCATTGTAGGTTTACTTTGCACAAACGTGGCTCTTTCTTGCCGACAACTCGCAAAATACCCTTGGTTTCTATGAGGAAACACATGTTTACAAAATCAGAATTGTGGACAGCGGATATGTTACGCTTCTTGCAAACCTTTCTGTACACTTCGTACAACTGTAAAGAATAAAACGTTGTTTGAAAAAATGTCATATGACATGTATGAAAAATTTATTATATATTTACAAGTATAAATTTAACTAAAATTTAATGAATACAATTAATTTTACATTTAAATATAATTAATACAATAATTTTATATTTAAATATTTATCAATCTAATAAATTATATCTTTTTTAGTTAAACACTGAATATTGATGTAAAAATACTTTATTTTTGGTTAAAAAAAAAAGGCGTAACTAATTTACCTCAGCAGAGCTTTGATATATTATAAATTTAATTTATATTATCATAAAAATTTAATTTATATTTAAATATTTGATTGTAACTATGTATAATGCATGATTTTAATGAACTTACTCTTCCGATAGTGATTTCTTTATTCTTTCCTTTATTAAGGATAAGTAATAAAGAGCAAATTAACAACTTTTGTTGAAGAGGAAATGTATCCTGTTCTTTATTGAGATTCTGTATGCCTCCATAAACTCCATTTAAAACTGTCACCACTTCCTTCAAGTCAACCGGCTTCTCCACTGTCTCTGTTTCCTTCTTTGAGGGCGATACATTTGTATCTAGATTAAAAATAGAAAATTAAATTTTCTACATTATTTATGTTAATTACCAATTATCCCATTCTTAGTCATATAATTTTCATTAATAAACATAATAATTTTTTTATTAATATTACATTCTAATATCGGGTCACATAAACATTAATTACCATTATCGTTCGTCGGACGTAGCACATCTGCTACTTGAGGCAACGAAGCTAATTCGATCACCCTCCTGCTGATATCTAAGGCTTTCCTGATATCCCCACAAATTGCAGCTACCTTACCCGCTAGAAATTGTATCGCGGCCGGAGTAAAAACGTTGGTCGCGTTTGCCTCATTCAGTCTCGCAGATATTATATTAAATATCTGTTGTTTGGAATAAGGGGCAAAGTTCATTAACACCGGCTTTAATTCGCATCTGGTCTCCAGTCTAGGTAGTATTCTGTCAGTCAGATCCAGAGAGTTGGAGATTCCGATGAGGATCAGCTTCGAATTCGGTTTGGAAGGCCACTCAAATATGGAATACAGTACAGACTGCTTTTGGCTCTCCAACTGATCTATCTCGTCCAATACCAAGAGTATCATCTTATGTTTGGATGCTAAATACTTTTCTATAAGAGTTTTTCCTGTCCTTGCCGTGCCGGATAAGGACAGTTCCATAATTATCTTGGTATAAATGGCAATCGCGGATTTCATGCTGGTACAATTAATGTAAACCATTTTAAATTTCGATTTTATATTCGGCTGTTGCATGATCTTGAACAGACACGCGGTTTTGCCAGTGCCCGGAGGGCCAGAAATGTACAAAGAACCTGATGTTTCTTGATCTAAATGTTCAAGAAGATATTTCTGCAGCTTAGTTATTTCCTCTTCTCTTCCAGGTAAGTTGTCGGTTATGGAACCGTGCAATGATTTACGCGCGTTCTGGTACTTGTTAGATCTTACTGGCTTAGAAATGAACTCGCCCTCTTCTTTGGAGAGACAAGAGTTAAATAATTGCTTGGGAGTTAATTTGCCTTCTTTCTTTGGAGACAGAACTAATCTATTGAAAAGAGTGGAGGGCGTCAAGGAAGACTCCAGCTTTTCCTTTCTCTGCTTTGGTGGACTAGGAGTGTGTTGTTCTGGAATAAGACATAATTCATAATTTGACAACAACCTTATGTAAAATACTAATACCTAGTATAAATATAATTATAATGTATATAAAGCAAAATTAAATTGCATAATTATCACAATAAACAAGAAAGTCACAATTGTAAAATAGTCTATCTACAAAATAAATTCTTAATTATTACTTTTAATCCAGAGCTGATGTGAGTTTAAACCTACTAAGCAATGATCATTTAAATAACAAAGATTCTGATGACTAAAAATAATTCAGACATCATTTTTACTAATAATTTCTGTTATCAGAAATCAAAATTACTCTTTCTCTGTAAAATAACGTTAATGTTTGTTCTTTCTTTGTTATGCTTTAAATACTAGGAAAGATAGAACAATGTTTAAATTTCCTAAAAAAGAAAACAGTCTTTGGAATCAGCTCTGGAAGGCTAAATAAAATAAGAAATAATATCTCCTGTGTAAATTTACCATTCAAGTTGTCACACTTTCGTCGCCTTGGTGTATGGCCTGCATTCTCAATCTTTCTTTCCCTTGTTACCTTCTGCTTCTCCTTTGTATTCTCAATATCTGAATCAGACTCAGATTCACTGCTGGTCAAAGTAACAATCTTCTTCACGGTTGGGACATACCTTGACGATATGTCCTTTGCCGTCGCGTTAGTGAAATCCTCTTTTATTTCCTTCTTGTGACCGTAAAAACTACATTTCTTTTTTACTGGAAAAGAAATGGTAGTCTGCTTGCTCGACATCGTTTTCACCACAACCGGCAGAAATGAACGCAATACAAATCTTTCTTTTTTCTAGATCGATACCCTGACTCTAAAAAGATACACGGCATAGTTATATGTATGGTACTTCTTAGTAGACATATAATTTTTGTAATAAAATTAAATATTGTTCTCATTTTGAATTCAGTCAACTCCACAGATAGTTTGCAACAGAGGTGCAGATTCTTTGAGATTTATACAAATTTATACACACCCTTTTGGAATTTTCTGCCCTTCGTGACGACGTTCACGTGGAATTCGAGAACGATTTCGACTCGGTCGCGCGTGTCACTGCTATGCTACGTTGAAGTTACCAAAAGTTCCCGAAATATTCGTTAATCAATCGTTGAAAGATTTAGGCCTCCTTACACGGTCAATAATACTGAGTCAGTATTACTGATAGTATACATTAGTTTTTGTAATCTTATACGATCAGGTATTATTGATAATATTTCACTTCAGTTTGACGTGATTTGACGTATATTATTATCTATGACGACATGGATCTTAAGGAAAAAGCATGTATTTAAGTACAAATCATCGTCAATATTCTACGTCAATCCATTAACCACACACAATCAATAATATTGTCAATATTCGTTGATACTGACAGTATTACTGACCGTGTACAGAGTCCTTTTGCCAACGTCAGCGATTAACACATTTAATGAACGATTGTCCGCCGATTCGCGACGAAATACGTTTCTCACCGAGCAACAAATAAATTCCGCGCACCTCAGCTGCGACTGCAGTTTTGGCGGGATGGACTTTAAACGGGCGGGAAAACAACAGGTGCGGAACAGCGGAATGCGCCGCCTGTCGCCCCTTGTCGGTCCGGAACGGACGTTCCGAACGGCGGAACATGAAGAAAGTGGGATACGCAAGAGAAATAAATAGAATAACAATTTTACTATTAATCATAAATTATCATTTATCACTTCTAATATTTTACACGCATTCTACTCTTAATATATTATACATTTTATAAAATACTGGAAATTCTAAACTAGGATTATTGAAATTCTAGAATTTTTTTTTGACAAATATTTACAAGTCAGTTCCGACGAGTACCACCCAACCGTTACGGACACGTTTTGGTTCGGGTGCTTTCCATTGTATATTTTTGAAAGTCTTACCGACTTCGACTGTGCATCGCACCACACAGATGCGTGTCCGCGGATGAGCTCGTCTCGATCTCGATTGTTCGTCATTTTGCACCTTTTGACGACTAGGGCTCTCATGACGCGCGTTATTGCGACGTGACGACGCCGTAGATGCAGGCGCCCGGAGACCGGTCGAGCCATTTTCGCGGGCATTGCATCAAATATGAAGAAAAGAAGCGGATATTCGTGTGCGATATATATAGATTAGTATTCAAATTGTCCACACTCAACATCATGGCCGACCATTTCTCTTCAGATCAAAGGTGCCGACACAGAGTCGACCTATACTGTATATGTACTTATACTGTGCTTGTAAGATATCTTATAAGAAAAAATTATGAATAATGTCGACATTTGACTTTTCTGCATATTTGTGTTGCATAAATAATAACAAAGTTAATAAAATAAATACTGCCTTTATTTCTTAAGTAATACATGAATAAAAAATTGTCTGCTTGCATAATAATAATCTGAAAATAAAGACAAATATATAAGTAGTAACATGATTCGCGAGCTATGAGTTCTATTATTTCAAATATTGTACAATTACGTGATAGTTAAATAGTATCATTAAACTTAAAGAATAATTTTTACTGATTAATGCCTGGTTTATGCTTCAAGCTTAATCCCAAGATCCTAAAATTCAACCAATAAAGCGGGGAGCACAGACTTTTGCATAACGCATAAAGCATATGCATAAGGAATTTCATTGGTCCATTTTCTTATGCATGAGTCAATGGACCAATCAAATTCTTTATGTATATGGTTTATGCGTTATGCAAAAGTCTGTGCTCCCCGCTTAAAGCTGCCAGTTCTAACTGAAATTTCAGCTCTATTGGCTGAATTTTAGGATTAAGACCTTAAGACCGAAGCATAAACCAGGCATAAGCGAGTACATTTGTAACTGTGATTAAAAATAAAGCAAAATCGTCCGGTTGAAACTACAATTTCAGACAACACAATTCGTAAGTACTTATGATGTAAAAAGATGTGTGTGTGTGTTCTCAAATTTTAATAATACACTCAGCACCAAAAATTAAAGGCTCAATAAATTTTTACAGAAAGTTAACTTGAATGGACAACAAGGATAAAGCTTTAATTGTGTCCACGATGCTAGAACTCGGTCCAAGTTCTAGCATCGTGGACACAAGGCTTAAGATTAAGACGCAATCAGAGAATCTGTTTCCTAGGGACTTGAGCACAACTGGGCAAAGTCCCTAGCGCGTCAAATAACGCAGCGCCGCGCATGTGTATTCGCGTTCGCTCTTTAGTTTCCGCTTCTTTGTTGGTTTCGTGCGTCCAGCGTCGTTCTGCCACTTCTGCGTCGTTCATTTTAGCTTGAGAAATTTTCGCAGGTGATTGATTAAAAATCCAAAGTAATCTAGCTATTCCGAACGGATCTAGGCTCGTTTGAAGGAGGAGATGAGAGCTAAGGTAAACTATAATTGATTTTTTAAATGATTATCGCGTTCTTTTGAATATAAGCGAGATTATTTCACCTAATAAAATTTTTGAGTTGCCGAAGCATGACCTCCATCTCTTGGGTAGGTCTGATTAATTTTGTTTACATGACATCAACGCTGCCAAAGATATTTTCGCTTCGTAATGACAATCTGAGTGATTAACACGGGCTTGTCGTTATCTTTGTAGCGGTACTTGTGCGTTTTTTCCTGTCCTTCGCACATTGTTCTATTATACATAACCTCAACTTCCCATCTTCTGGATTGTCTTAGAACCTAGAAAATCGACATAACGTAACATCGATCCATAGGTCTTTTTCCAGATGAAATTTTTTCTTGCATCGTTCATCTTCTTTTCTTCCTGTTGAAGAGAAAAAAAGAAAAATGAGTGATATAAAAAAATAAACTAAATATCCCAGCAAATACAGCATAGAGGTTTTTCATAGAAGTTTTTTTCATTGTTCTAAAATTGACTGTTTACTGAAAATCTATAGTGTACATAATATAAACTATAGCATTTTCAGCACTGGCAGTAATAAAATTGGAACACAATCTATAATAGGTCTATTTTTTTTTCTGTACTGTCTGAACTAGTGCAGGAATAAAAAACAGATCTATTGGCTGTGTTCAGCAGAGAAAGTAGCTTTGCAACTATTGTAAAATTCTTTGATACAATTGGTTTACACATCTAGATCTATAAAAAACAAAAAGCAATTACCAATTAGAGAATTTTATAATAGTTGTAAAACTGCTTTCGCTGCTGAACACAAATTTGCCAACATAATCTATGTTGTATGGATGATTCAAATTCATCAATAGAAAGCTGTAAATTTCAGAAGAAGTTAATAATGTACTTATTTTGCAGTGGCGTAAAAAGAGGATGCGGAGGCTAAAGCGGAAGAGGAGGAAGATGCGTGCGAGGTCTAAATAAGCAGTTTCTTTCCACAATCTTGGTAGGTGTATATTTTATTTGAATCATAGTCACATTATTTTTATATCATTCTTATTTTGCCATGTAATGTTTCAGCTGTGGGGAGAACCGACGTTTCACCATTCGACGAACACTCCTGACTGATTGAAATTCCTCAGGAAGATGAATCTTCAATGGACACGTTTTTCGCGTTGAGAGAATTTTGTACATGTAAATCTTGTTTGGTTAAATACATCAACTACTCAAGTCAGAACTTAATTGGAGGATCTTGTTTCATCTGATGCACTTTTATTTCCTTTACTATAATCTTATACCTGTTTTTTTTTCTCTCATTTTGCACTTGAAAGAAAAAAGCCTTGTTATATAATTAAACCAATATACAATAAGATTATACATGTACGTGGAAGCTAGGAACGTCTTCAAATAAAAATTTTATTGATATAAACGGTGATTACGTAGGATGTATGATCCAATCGTAATTATTTATATTTAATTATAATTATTACAGAATAATAAAGAATAGAGGCATTTAACGGTTAAGCTGGATCTTAATTATTACAGTAAATAATTATTATTTTAGGCTAATCATATAAATTATAATTATATAATATCCCAAGAGCGTAACTTTCGTCTCTGTGATCTCGCGACTTGACTCTATTAGATCTAACCTAAGTTTTGAAGACCGACATGCGATCGTGCATCCTGAGGAACCTGCTAAGTGCGCAGCGATTGTCGCGCGACGCTCCTGGAAGTCATATATCACGATCGTTAACGTATTCACGACTACAGCTGACGAGGAGGTTCTCGAGCGACGTAGGAAACGGCTACAAGGACAAGGAAGATGACGCGAGTAAGGACACCGGTTATAACCTCGCGGCTGCTATGAATACAAAATACAAAATATTTCATGATGAGGACGCTGACATTATTTTTGACGTGAGCGAAGAACAACAAAAGATCCTCCTCGAGGATTTGAATAAACAGGAGGAGGAAATTCATGATCCTTACGCCGACATAAATTTGGAGCGTGAGTAGAAATGGAGTACAAAAAAAAGTGGCTGTACAATAATATTAAATCAGTGCAAAAGTTTGTGCTTGATTTATTATTCTTATTATAAGAAATTATGTACTTAATATATATAATTTATATTAATAAAATACATGTTATTTGAATATTATATATAATAAATATTGTTCTTAATTAGTAAAAAATGATGAAATTATTAAGGAATTAAATAATGACTATAGTAATGATCAAATTATGTTATATATATTAGACGGTGTTACTGGAGTATTTGATATCGATCAACTTGTTGAGTTATTGGAAAGAGACAAGGCCAAAAATATCTTTGTCGCTTCTGTTCCCAAGGAATTTGCTTACGTTGATTACATTGTTGTTGTGACTGGAAATTCACAAAAGCATATGAACGCTTTGGTCACTTTTGTACGCAAAGTTTACAAATTGAAAAGATACAAAAACGAGTTGATACCTAATATTGAAGGGAAGAATTCAAAAGATTGGATGGCCTTAGATTTAGGTAATATATTTTTCGAAATAAGAAATAATATATGTTTTGTTTTAATTACAATTATTTACACACACATACACAGAGTGATTGCCACAACTTTCGTACTACTAAGACAATAAACAATTAAAAAATTTTGTTATAATTAACTTTAAAAAACAGGATATTTTAAATACTATTTTAAATATATTAAGTATTAGAAATTAAATAAAAGTATGTTGAGAAAGGCTATGAGCAAAAAAAACAATAGATTTAATGTTCGTAAATAAAAGTAAAAATGATAATATAAACATAGTTAAATACAGATGTTTTATATCAGATCATTATCAATGTTAAACATATTATAATTTAGACGGTTAAATGTAAAAACAATTGTTTTTGGAAATTAAATGATTAAAACGGTCTAAATTGAGCTAAATAGATTTTCCAATAATAATTATTACATCTTAAAATTATTTACAAAAATGTCAAAAATTTCGAAATTATTTAACATATAAACTAACCAAACTGAAATGTCAAAATTTTGTACGTTTCGGGACTCACAAGTCCTTCAGCGATTCTTAACAGACGTTTGCGTCAATTTATTAATTGTTTTTGGCTCATAGCCTTTCTCAACATATTCATATATCACTATTCACTATTCTATATAAGGTATGTAAGTATTATAAACTCTCCAAGCTTACTACTTGTTACAAAGAATTGAAGTAGATAGATAACGTTAATAACTATGAAGTAACTTCGAATTTATTAGAACAAACAAAATTATGCATGGTTTGTATTGCAGGAAATATTGCTTTACATATCTTGTCTAATTCTGCTAGAGAGCATTACGATTTGGAGACTCTATGGTCAGTCGGTTCACAATACGATGATAAGAGTAATGCATGTGAGGAATCGAGCATTATGGATCAGTATAATGCCTTCTTAGCAGATCTGAAACCAGCTGATGATACTCGATGATTTTCTGTGCGCGTGTCTTTAATGTAAAAATTGTAAACTAGTCTAATAAAAAAATTATACAATTAATAATGAAAATATTATTAAAATGTCATTAATCGCATAATTATTAATAATATAATATAAATAATTAAATATTTATGTCGTAATATTAAACTCTATAGTCTATAGTATTAAGATTTATTATCACAAAAAAATTTTCCTTTTATATGGAATAAAATCTGAAAAATTTTTAAAAGGTTAAAAATTACTCAAAATTCTGTAAAATTTTTAATAAAAATTTACAGAATTTTTACTAAAACTTGCATAAAAATTCAGAAAAATTATACTAAAAATTCTGAGAAAAATTTGTATCAGAGTAATGGTATAAAAATATTTTTCTCAGAAATATTTTTATATAATATTTTTCAGTTTGTATAAACTTACTTAATAATTTTTATAATACTAAATTACTAAATGATTTTTTATATTAATTTTTTTACACAATTTTTTCGTTTAATTAGATAGGAATTCTTCATATATAATTATGTGTAAATTCTAAAATATTCTAAAGTGTCTCATTTTACAGTTTCCGATAAATCTTGTAAAATCTAAACAAATTTAAGATGTTTTCAGAAATTATAAGTAAAAGAACTTTTAAAATCACAAAATCTTTCAAAATTCACATGGAAAATTCTAAAAATAATTTTCATAGTGTAAAACATAGTCTTTTTTTCTTTTACAAGTTACAAAAGGAAAACGCATTTTTTAAATCTTGACTAAAGTTGGATTGTTCTTACGCTCTTCATACCTCGCCTAGAGTACTTTAGAGTTAAATGTACTTTTATACCTGTACATAACCTTACTGCAAATTGCTTTTAACGGCTCGATACGTGACAGGTGTTTACAAAACTGACGATTATATTCGTTTGCTATTTTATTAATTTAACTTTGAAAGGAAACGTGGGCACATTACCGTGCTATATAATTATAAATGATATCACGATCGTTACGATATTTGATATAATCAGCACATTTATAAACATAATAAATGAGACGTTAACAGGGAAAGAGAGTACGGTAAGTTACGTGAAATTTCAATTTTAACATGTCATCCTCATCTTAGACATTTTACTGTGTAATAGAAAAACGATACAATAAAGAATTAGTATTTTTGAAACAATAAAAAGAAATCTAACCTAAAGACTGAGAAGTTTAGACAATTCTATATTAGATTTACAGTGTGATGGAGAATAACAAAAGGAAATTGACTCTGAAAACTATATTTTTTTAGAAAAACAATATATTTGTTGATGTACTGCTTACACAAAAAAAGTAAATGTTCTTATCATAATTTGATAAGGAATGAAATTCATAAATAATTCTATATTAGAGTTGCAGTGTTGGAATTTTGATAACTCATATGACACTGTTTTAAAAAACTTATTATAATTTAAAAAAATATAATTTATTACTTCAGCTAACATTATCAAGCTGAAGTAATAAATTATTTTTTTTTTACTTCACCAAGAGCCAATTACAATTGGAACAAATAATTAAATTAATTGTAATTAAACTGAATTATAATTAATTATAATTATATGTAAACATATAATTTAATTAAACAGACTCCTATAATTAAAGCATTCCATGTCAGAAAAAATTTAAAGAATTGAAAGGTTGCTAATTATGAAACGTGTCACTTTCCTATTAACGATTTCAACAGATATAACTTTTTGTTAGCAACACTTCGAATACATCTGATTGTTATAAGTTTATAGTTTGCTATTCACGCCGGCAGCACTTTGACGAATCGCCTCCTGGAAGCCCAGGGGAGTCGCAAAAATGGACGTGAGCGCGTTGTTCAAGGCCAGCGTTAAGGCGGTGAATCTGCGGAACAAGGACCTCGGTGTGCCGGTAGCAGAGAGCCAGCCGCGGGGGACCAGGAGCAAGAGCACCTTCTGTATGAAGGTGCACGTAGTGGTCGTGCAGATCTCCAAGCTGCGCGAGTTCCTGCTGGAGAACCGCAAGGCCTATCTGAACTTCTCCAACTATCTGTCCACAACGTCGCACATGTCGGATGCGGAACGCGACGAAATCGACCTGGGTGCGCAGCGAATAATAAGCACCTGCTCGCAGCTGGTCAAAGACTTGAAGCGAGAAATCGCGGCATCGACAGAGATCACCCAGCAGAACATTGAACATCGCGAGATCATGCTGCTTCTGATAGAAGACTACCTGAAGAATGTCTGCAAGATATACTCGGAACAGAAGGCGATGCGCGTGAAAAAGGCCATGGAGATGCGAAAGATCTCGAAACTGCAAGCAGATCAGCCGTTGTCGACAGTGACGAAAAGATCGGCTTTGAACGTGGTCGATCCCGCGGACGATCATGATATCAAGAACGGCTCAAGCGAGTCCAGCCCGATGAAGATCCAGGAAATCAACGGCGATGTCAACACGATAACGTACGAAGAGGAATTGTCGACGGAGGACATCCAGATGTTCGAGTCAGAGAACGAGCAGTTGTACAACGAGCTGAACACTATGACGGAGGAAGTGAAGCAGATTGAGAGCAAAGTGGTGCACATCGCTGAGCTTCAGGAGATCTTTACGGAGAAGGTTCTGGACCAAGACAAGGATCTGGATAGGCTGATGACGACGGTGGTGGGATCGACGGAGAATGTAAAGGAGGCGAACGAGCAGATTCGCCAAGCGATCCAGAGGAACGCCGGTCTCAGGGTGTGGATCCTCTTCTTTCTTCTGGTGATATCATTCTCATTGTTGTTCCTCGATTGGTACAATCCATAAGAGTAAATGGATTTCCGAGTTGCTTTTAAGATACGAAAGTGAGAAAAGGAACATTTACAAGAAATGTTTGATACAATCCATAAAACATATTTCTATTATTAAATTATTGAATTTTACGGATTGTATCAATTGTTACTTTCTAAGAATGAATGAAAAGATGCTGAAAGGTTGGAAGAGCAGAAAGAAAGAGAACAAGAGAGAAAAACATCTGCCAAAAAATATTGCTATATTTTATCCCCGGATTATTGTACACAATAGCTGTAACTTACTATATGCAGGGGATGAACAAAATAATATAAACGCCTGGAAAATATACTATAATACTTATTTTATATTACTTGTTTTATTAATGAAAGATTGGCCTACCATTTGCTTTTGCTGCACATCTATCTTTGTTGGAATAGAGTCATATAATGCTTGAACAGTTATCAATAAAATATTATACTATTTTATAAAAGAATATCTTTCAATTGTTTATATAAAGAATATCTGAGGAAATTTACCTCTTTGTGCTTTTAAATTGTCCTGTGCTGTTCAAAACTTTCCTTGCCTGTAATCACTTGATTATAGGCCGGGAAAGAATTTAACATTCAATAATTTGTAGTTTTAAAGAACAGAATGAAATTTTCTCCTTCAATATCTCTTAAGCAAATACAGGATGTTCTGTTAGAAGAATAGTCTAATATTGCATCGTAGCAGTTGCTGCACCATTCAAGCATGTATGATTTTAACAAGGATAGAATCCATATTAAAGACAAATAGTATATCAACTTCTTATCAATAAAATAAGTAGATAGAACAGCTTTCAATTGTTTACATAAATAGTATTCGAGAAGGAAATCTGCTTATCACTTTATTTTCCAAAATTTTTCTGTGTTCTTTAAAATTTCAACATCTTTCCTGGGTACCTATTATGGAACAATTGAAAATTAGAGAATAATTGAATAATTTCGATTGGAATTCATTCCGAATATTTTCATAATAGATGCCCCGGCATGGAAGTGTCTGATTTGAATATCGAGTCATTTGTAGTTTTGAAGAACACAGTAAGATTTCCTCCTTCAATATCTTTTAAGCAATTTTTTTAGAAGAGATTATATTATTATTTCTCTGATGTTCGCACGTTATTTTGTCGATCCTCTGTACATACATATATATAATAAAATTTGTATATTACTTATATACAACGCGTCTTTGCACATGTGTACGTACACAAACATACGCTTCGGTAATTTATTTTTATAAAACTCGAAGTTTTGCCAATTATGTTTCTAACATCGTGTCAAAGTATATTGTTTTTATCTTTCATAAAAATATTCTCTTAAGACTTTTGAATCCTCTTGCTGCACAATCTAACAAATTATTAGCGTTTTTCATTGGCAAAGCTAGTGCGCACTCAGTGTACTTTAAAACCATTAAACATAAATCAACGTAAAGATGTATGTTTAATAAAAATATAGAAATGAGCGAAATCCTCATTACATTTCGCGTTGTGCTATTTAATAAAATATACATTAGGCATTTTATCAATTGAGATATCTTACTTTTACATTCAGATTAGAGTAGCGTATGACGACTTTAATGTGCACTGAATGCGCACCAGTTCTGCCAATGACAAAACGCTATATAAGAGATCAGAAGCTGAAACTTTACATATAGTTTGAAATAAGTTTTTATATATCATTTTTCTTCAAGTCTTATATTATTTTTAGAATAATTATACTATAGAGTGCAAAAAAGTTAATTTATCTTGTATCAAGATAATTTACTTCGTAAGGAAATAAATCCACTTTGTTTCTGGCCTCTCATATAATTCCACATGATGAGAAAACAAAAGTCTCAATGTCGTTAAATTAATTAGATCTAATAGACGTGTGAATGTGCCCATTTATAAAAATCGATAAAAAACGGAATAAGAATTTATTTATTGACATGAATCGCGACATTTCCTCAAGAATATCGCCTGCATTAACTGAAATTAATCTCGCATTTTTGTCGATGTATAAGTGCAATTCGGCGCGATATGATTATAAATTATTATTGAATTATTGTAAACATACGATCTAATAATTTTACACACGATAAGAATTCCCGTATTCGTGTATAAAATTGATCTGTGGTTCCTGCGTACACGTCCATTTTTATACAAAATCTTATAAAAGTGTAAAGCATTACACGTATCCTCGTACGAGGACGAATCACCATATAAAAATGCATGAAATATATTGGTCATCAGTCATCATATGAAACGTACAAATGTAAAATAGAAAGAATAACTCGAGGATATATCTAGAAAAAAATACAATGTAGGCAATACATCGCGTACATGTTAGCGTATCAGAAACGGTAAAATATTAAAAAAAGAAAGAATTTTCGAAAAATTTGAAGATATATGATTGTGAAGTTATCCTTTCATCTTATTGCAATATGACGTGGAAGGTAGAAAAAAATGGAAAAAATTTAGAAAACAAAAGAAAATATATTCTAGTAGTCCACATGGATCGTAGGCGACTTACTTACGATTATAAAAATAACAGCTTTCTAATTAATGAAAATTCCTAATTTGGTATGTAAGTATGTCTGTAACGTGGATGGTTTTGTGGGCAGAGTTTCCCCTCGATTATACACTGGACCACCCACGTAGTGGACAGAATTGGAAAATTTAATTGGATTGCTCTGTTCTGTGCCCATAACGGACACTTCCAATTAGATATGACCACTGTAGTACTAGCAAAATCCATCGTTTCCATAGCATCTGAAAAAAAATTTAAGTTTTTCTATAAATAGTAATTTGAGATAATATACGCATGTGAAACAATTTAAACTTATAATATATTTTAATAGACTTTAATGGCCGGTATTCATATCAGTTCTTATATTCAAGACCGTCTTAAGTTTAATCTTGAGATATCAGAAACCAGTCAGAAGGCCGCAATAGCATCTTAAGATCTTGAAATAAGAACTGACTATGAATACCGGCCTATGTATTTCTTTTATCTTAATATTATATATTACGTATATCGGTAATAATATAAAGTATAAATTTGCTTTAAAGGAGCTTATAATTTTTGACAACAAAAAATAAAATACCTAAATCTTCTGCGATTAAAACTATCGCACCCGCGTTTTCGCAAACTTGCCGCCAGAACGTGGCAAATTGTGGCAAATTGATGGATGCCAGACTAGGAATTATCACGACGATTTCTGACAACGGTTTCTTTCCGTATGTCTCGAATGCTTCTATGTAAGTTTTTTTCTGCAAACTCCAGCCGTTTGGAAGAGCAAGTTCCGCCGTGTTCACTTTCTTTTCCTAAAAATGTACAGTCAAGTGTAAGATTTACGCGTGACGCAATTGTTGGCGATTTAATCAAATATAATAATAGACGAAATCATGGTACGAAAATTGTAAACAAAATTATGAAAAGATGTATATAATAAAGATATAAAGTGTGTAATGTATATATACATATATATATTCAATAAACTGTTTATATAAAATTTAATTTAATACTAAATAATGTTATCTAAATTTATTAGATTAACGCTGTCCAAAATTTGTAATTCCGAATATTGAATTATATTTGTTTACGCCTATAATCTTCCTTTTTTTATTTATATGGAGTCATTATGAGTAAAGAGTTGATGAACTGATAATTGTTTTGGCAATCCAAAAGGTTTTCTTTACATTAAATTTAGATAAAGAATTACCTCTACACAACATCTGATGATCCATTTATGACTGCATATGATAATGCCAGCTGACAAACATAATATGTTCTTTGCCGTAGTATTTGGCACATTGGTGATCAGTATTGTATTCTCATACTCGTCCTTCGGTATTTCCTCAAAGTCATCATAGACCTTTCCGCCGCCTGCTTTGATCTGCGTGTGAAGTCTTTCACGCACGAAATGTTTGTCCACCCAATCGTCCTCATACTCTGTTTCATTATCCGTTTCGATGGCTTCTGTTTTCGTGTTCGACGCCGTGTGAATGTTTATATCTTGATATCTGAAATGGTGCAGAATGAATTAGTGGATATTAAATCAATCCTTAACAAAAAAAAAAGAAAAAATACATAAAATGCAGATAATGCTTCGTGTCTTAAGAAAGGTAGCTGTATTTTGTTCATCTTTTCATTACTACAGCGGCTGCCAAAAATTTTTGGTTAACATATGATTTTACAAACATTTTTGTAAACCTATTTTTAGCTTAAATTAATAAGTTAATAAAATTCTTTTATTTTTAGTTTTTCTTAATCAACTTGAGACATATTTTAAATATTAGATTACTTCATCTAACGTGACCACTTCTTTTATCTTAATATTATTTTGCATATAAAAATTATTAAGGTAGAGATGTCAAACATTAATAGTTTAACTCGCAAACTGTTAATTACCTCTACCTTAATACTTTTATCTGTAGAATAATTAGAGAAATCATATTATGTAAAAAAATCACAGAATTCTATTTAAAAAATAAATTACTATATGATCATAAAAAATTATTTTTTTCGGAAATTGATTTTGCCATTATTTGTGTTTTATCAGGCTATATAATTCTGTCCAGACATATTTTTTTCGATCTTATCCTGCAAAAATAAAGTCATGTTAGATGGAACAATCTGTATATTATAAGAATATATACTATAATTAAATATTTATATATTAGACCTTTATTTTAAAGATTCATCTGAGCAAAATTAATCATCGATTTTTTGGCAGTCACTGTATATCTTTATTTATTATATTAATTCCTCGAGCGTCTAGCATTATTCTTATTAGAATTAAAATCCATCCATTCAATTGTCAAGTGAATAAGTAAAAGATACCTTTCCAGTTTCTCTAAGGATATGCAAGTAAGGATGAATGACATGCCCTTGAAGATGTTTGAGTTCGTCGGAATCGGACCAAGAGTAGCGATCATTTTCGGGTCCTCCTTCTTCTTGCTACGTGATTTGCTCTTGTTCCTACTCGGTGGTCCTTTCGTGATCTGTTCAAACGGCGTGCCAATTATCTCTTTCTGTATTCCCATTAGAGTATATTCGTCTTCTGCTTTACTGCGAGTAGATTCAATGTTTGAATCGCTCGACATTCCCTCGCTATCGAACAATGCCGTCCCCTTGTTTAACTTGGCAGACATGCCGGACACCGAGGGTTCGGATTTGGTTTTACTGGTCGAAGTGCTCAACGCGCCAGAGTTGATCCTGGACTTAGGAGTCGAGGAGAGTGGTGTGCCGATTCTCTTGGAGCGTCGCTTGCCGTCAATCATGTTGTCCAAGGTCACCTGACCGAGCGCTTTTGGCGTGCTCGGCAGGGAACTCTTACTTACGGAGTCCACTTCTTCCTTGAGCAGCTGCGCTTGATCAGTGGACAAGAAGATGTTCTGTATTTGCACGTTCAATTTCTCGCCCTCATCAGTTACCACCGTATAGTTCGTGTCGCCGTTCGATATTTGAACGTCGATGATAATGCCGCAGGAACCGTAATCGTTAGTCTTCGTGGTAGCGTATACAGACAGACCCTTCCTCAGAATCTTTGGTATCGGTATCACAAATTCGGGTATGAGCGTCTTACTCTTCCCGTCGTAGAAGTTCACCTTGTACTTAGTCTTCAGCCAATCACTCACCATGCCAAGATAGTAATTGTTATCCGACCATTTGGCGAATACGTTCTTACCGATTAGCTCGTCGGCCAGCATGCTTTGCGGTGACTTCGCCTGAACGTCCACGTTGTTTAAATGCTCGTCTTCTAATTTGATCTTTTTACTCGGTGTGTCCATCTCCGTGGTGGATATGTGCAGAGCCGGCTCGCTCAGAATATTTTTGGCGCTGCTCTCACCGTTGATTTGCGCGACGTTCGATCTCGTCAATTTGCTCCTCGGTCTTTTCGTGGTTTTACCTTTTTTCGTGCTCTTCGGCGTAGCATTTAATTCCACTTTCAAACTTGAGGGGTGATCCGACGGTGTCGACGAACGCATATTGTTCTTTTCCAAGTGATGATGATGATCGTCTAGCCGCTCGTTGCTCACATTCGCGAAAGTATCAACAATCGTGAGGGCTGTGGTAGCGGATATACTGCTCAATTCCATGTTTGCGTAATTCAGGATTGTCGTTGTAAGCAAGTGATAGTTCTTCCATTCATGCGTCAAACGATCGTAGGTCTCATCCAATACTTGCTTCTCCGCCATCATTGATATGATGTTTTGGGGAGATTTCTTCGTGAGCTTTGCTGGGCCCGTCAGCATCGAGAAGCGGGGCGGACCGCCTTTTAGAGCAAGTTTTACAGCCAAAGAAGCAGCGCTAGATCCCGAGCTTGATGACGACATCATGGACAATCGGGATGCAAGCTGGTATAACTGAGGATTGCTATTCACGGAACCGGGCGACGACTCCTTGTTATCAGAGATATCTGCCATCGAGGACTGACTGTCTTCATTCTTCTGTCTGCTCAACTCGGTTATGGGCTCGCACTGCACTGCAGTTAGCTCCTTCCTCACGAGTTCTTTCGTATTCTCGTCCGTGTGTACCAGACATTTGAGCTTCACGTAGACACCGATCTCCCGCTCTTCCTATAAGTATTTTTCTCATGTATTTATATGTATGCAGAAAGAATCTTGTATTAACCCTCAATTACCACACTAGTGCAAATTAACATAGGCAAAATTTTCACTTCGCAAAACTTTTTAATTTCTTATTTTTTTAATTTACAAAATTTTTTACAATAAAATATAATTTTTATCTAATTATATTATTATCAATAGGTTTCAGAAAATTTATTTCAGAAAATTATATTAAAATATTTCAGAAAATTATTCCAAAAAAACTATATAACTAAATTACTTTAACTTTTTTTCATTTCAAAATTACACATGATGAAAAATGGAAAATCCTAATTCGCGCACCAGTGTGGTAATTGTATGACCGCGACTGAAGCGTGATAACTGACAATTAATCATATGGAAAACAAAATGACTTTTATCAAATCAGTAAACTAATATTTTATATAAGTTACGAGATGCTGATCTATAAAAAGTCACTTTTTCCATTTAATTAATGCGGAGTCCTTTTATAATTTATTTTTTATCAGTTTGCTTAAACTAAAAATTGTATATCAAGAAATATTATTAAGCACAAAAAATCATCTTGATTGAATATGGTGTTTTCTATTTATACATGTGTGAAATCTTTGTGTAACACATTTCATATCTGCGTTTATTAAGTAATACAGCGTGTGAAAATTATATTTTATAATTTCACAGTGTTGGTCCAGTCGTCTATTTGTCCATTCATCCAATTGTTTGTCAGTAAAATTTTTCTTTCTCTTTCAAATTTTCAGCAATAGATATTCAAAGATCCTAACTTTATTAAACAACTTTATCAAAACAAAATATGAATTAAATCAGTTCACTGTAAGCAGGTCAAAAGTTAAAGTCAATTTTAACGAAGTTCTTTCAATAATATGTTTTTCACTGCATTACTTATAATAATTACATCTATTTTAAAACATTTATCAATTTATTAATTAATTCATGTATCTTTTATATAATAACATTTATGTAATAAACGGAATATCTATCTGTCGCTTACCTGCTTGATCTTTCCTAGTGTATTGTTATAGATCAGATCAGACTTGTTTTTCTCTTCTACGTTAGATGTTTCATTATCGCTTACGATAACGAGATCGATGTTGTCTAAATCTTTAGACTTCAAACAGTTGCTTTTGGTGCCATCTACCTTCTTTATATCATGTGTGGTAGTTATTGCTCCTACAGGCAGAAGCTCCTCATTTACAGGAAACGTATCAAAATCTAAACTTGCGGTCGTGTCGACGTCGCTCTTCTTACACTCACTGCTTCCATTCACCAGTCTTTTGTCCGACGAGTTCGACTCCTGGGATGACTCCTTTGTACTCTCCTTGTAGCTGCTCTTGCTCTCGTAACTGCTCTTGACTTGAATTTCAGAATTCTTCCCTGATGAGTCTAGGATCTTCTCGCCATCCTCGTCGATCTGAACAATCTCTAATTTCTTTTTCATGCTCTGACGATGATATATCACCTCGGTTGACGAGTTCAATATCTTTTCATCATCGTCATCAATCTGCACTACTTGCGGCTTCGATTTATTATCAGCTCGATTTGTGTCCTCGTCTATCAATTCTACGCTCATTCGTGACTTAGTTTGCGAGGACGAAATCTCTTCGTCATTCTTGTCAACAGTCTTCTTGACACAGTTCGATTGTTCCATTTGATCCATTTTATCAGACGTTGTTTCTGTATCTTTTACGAGTTCCGTTTCGTCTAATGTTCCAATCCTAGATATTTCTACTACAGCATTCGTTGAAGTAACATTTTCTTTTCCAATTGACAGATTATCCTCTTCCAGAAAATCTTTTTCGCATGTAGAGTTAAAGTTGACAGTAATACTATCATTATTACTGACGTCCGTTAATTTCGCAGAGACATTCAGATTCTCGTCTTTTTTCACGTCACGTTTCTCGGAGAAAGTCTCGTCCTGCTGCAGACTTGTCTGCTCGGCATGTTCCTGAGCCTTGTTGTCGCTTGTCGTTTCTGCTGTGTGCTCACTGGAAATCTTCAGGGTATTCTGAGTAAATTCCATAGTGGCTGGTTCTTGGGTCTCTTCTATTATAACATTTTTGTCCATATTCTTGAACAAGTCCTGATACGAATCATCAGATCCACAAGACTGACGACTCTCTTCCTCGAGTCTCTTCTGAATGTTTGCCTCATCTTCCTCAGATATTTTAAGGATCTTGGCAGGTGGTTCATCAATGGCACTAGCTTTACGCTTCAGATTAACATCGACACTGCATACTTTTTTGGATGGCGAATAACTTTGAGGAGGTGTACCTTGGATAATCTCGTCCTCGTCAAAGAGTTCATCTTTTTTCTCAGACTCATACAACTCACTAGATACGCTCTCCCTAATCTCTTTAACAGCGTCGCTTTCCTTTAGTTTTTCATCTATAACAATTCTGTCTTTTTTGTCATTTGCAGCTATCGTGTTATTCTCTTCCATTTGCAATGTTTGTGGAATTTGTTGCGAATCTGCTTGGTCAATTGATTTCTTACAATTAGCCTCTCCATCCTGTTTCTGCTTTAACCTCTCCACCATATTCTCCTCTCCCTCTGAATCAACAAGACGAAAATCTTGACTCTCATTCAAGCTCGTACTTGGGGTTTCACTGGTAATTTTCAAGGTTTCATTGGCACCTTCATAACAGGTTTCCTGTGTCTCTGACACACAAATGTCTGATTCCACAGAGTTAGACATTTTTGATAGATTGTGACGATTATTCTAAAAATGAAACATTAATCAATATAAATTATAACATATAAAATTAAGAAAAAAAGTAAATTTATAAACACCTAAGATAATATTATTATTAACCAACAGAAATGTTATTTGCTTTAAAAAACAGCAGCATTGAAAAATTAATGATGAATTGCATTACTCTGTATATGTTAAAGGCTGCTTTATATGAAGTATCTAAATATAGTGGCATAAAATAATCAACTTGATAACAATCGAATAATAAGTGAATACCTATTTAATAACATGAAAATAATATTATACTGAGTATTTAATCGTTTAAAATATTTAGTAATTATTTAACGGAAAATTTCGTTATTTTCCTAAAAATTTCGAAAACTACTCGAGTTATTTTGATGAAACTTCCTGCATATTTAAAATTTCATCAAAATGCGAATCTCGCGTGCGTGCAGCGGGTTCACAACTTGCTTGCATCTTTTGCATCTAACATTTTCGCTCTTTCTCTTTTCAGGCACTCGATATTTCTATTTCTCTCGTTTTAAGTATAAAAATTTTGAAGATTTCAAGCAACGCGGACAGACATAATGGCGACGAAAGGTTACGGCGGGAACGTTTTGTGAGGCCGAGTAAGCCAGCGTGGAACGAGAGACGCGGTTTGAAATCTGACCAGAACTCAATGCGTGCGACGTGACGTCCGCACCGGCCGGAGGATATCTCCACTGCGAACGCGAGATACGATAAGTCTGCGTTGCCGCGAGCGAATACGATTCCGCCGGTCGCCTGAAGTAGGCGAAAATCGAACCCGGTCATACCTTTGTTGGCACGCGTTAAATGGAGTACTCCCGCATGCAACAATGCGAGACGCATCGAGAGAGCCGGATGTGCCTGTGAAGCAATCGACGAGTATTGTTCTTCCTTTTCTCTTTCTTTCTTCTAGTGTTGTTCGTTCGTGAGACGATCTGAGAGCGATGTAATGTCACCCGCCATATTTCCACTGCACACGGCGTGGCTCGCGGGAACAGCCACAGCGGGCTTTATATTAAACCATAATTTAAATGCATTTGAGTTGTACCACCGAGCGGTTAAATCAGAACTTTATATGATTGGTTGGATTTAAAAAAATAGGAACCAATAAGGTGCTGCTTCCATATGCGGCGTGAGTGGCGCAAGCGTAACTGCGTCAGCCAATCAAATCGTCTCAGCGTTTAAATTTGAATCATTTGAACACTTGATGAGTTGTGAAATCTTGGTATCAAAATGTAACTTTTTCTCTAGAGTCGAAACGTGAAAAAAATGAAAACTTTTATGAATAATGATGAAAATATACACATACCAACGATATTTCCATGCTTTTTAGCGGTGAGAGTCGGAGCCGGAAATTGACTATTTAGAGTTGGGTTAAGAGTACAAGAACCGACCAGCAATCACAGGCGAGTATTCTCAGCATTACAGTCAAATTAGAGAGGAATGCTCGACTGTGGATGGTCGGTTCTAGAACCAAGAAGACTAGAACCAGGAGAGTTAACTAGCGTGGTGGGGGTAAGTCAAAAAACGTCACTTTTTGCCTCATCCCCTCTACCGATATTGGCACCGAGTTACCTCTCCTGGTTCTAATCAGTTCTAGTCTTCTTGGTCTAGACATTAAGAGATATAGTGGAGTTAGAGGAGTAACTTGAGAATCAAAATCGTGTGACTTCTTTTTTTCAAAATATTAAATTTCGCAGTGCATTACATACGTATAATTTGCTACACTATTTGCTGAGCGTTGTCGTAATCGTATAAATAATATAATTATTGTTATGGAGAGATTAGGCAAGAATCTGAACAGGAATTATAGTCCACGCTATCAACAAGAGTAAGTTTAAAATGCCATCTTTTCTTTGTTTTTCCCAGTCTTTCCTATCTTTTTTTTTTTTTAAACATAATACGTGCTTCTGCCGAACAAATTGAAGGTGTAATGGCGACAGCACGTTAATTAAACATAGAATCGAAATGTCAGTATTCAGAACTTAATTAATATATAAGAAAGTCGTCGGAATTATAAATATTCATGCCTTCCATTTAGTGATACAAATTGATACAAATATTTCTATTTTTCTTTGCATTTTATGAGTAACAAAGACAGAACATACTTGTGTTTCCTTGTAACATTATAATAGAAGGCATCCGCACGAAAAATAACCCTATTTCTAAAATCGTGTTAAATGGGTCAGTTTATTAATTCATAGATGGAATTTTAACAAAACTTTTAATTCTTCGATCAGTTAAAAAAAAAATGATTCGATTCAATTTTTATTGTTGTCGACATGGACATATTGTCGATGGACGCTTCTCGAAAATTCCTATATTTTGTATACGTGTGTAAGTTGATACTTTTTCTACTTCTTTATTTAAGTACTCGACTTTTGTTTTTTTACAAAGATGATATTAAAGATGATATTGACTGTTTTTCACAGTCGGCACAAACATGTGCTTGACATTTGATGATAATAACGATCAAAGAAAGAATGGGCGCGTTCAGCGGATTCAAAAGTTGAGTGAGCGCTCGTTGTTATTGGAGTATTCTTTTAGATCATCCAATCAGAATTTTAGACCTAGAAGAATGCACCAATAACATTGAGCGCTCAACTATTGAGTCCGCTGAATGTACCCAATGATACTTGTGTTGACTGAAAACAAAAGCAGCACCTTTTATTATCTAAAAGGATACATCAATAGCACTCTATTGAAAAAAATCACGCCACAGAATTACATATAAAGAAATCATAGAATTAAAATATGTAAATCACGTAACAAATTATTCCAAATCAGATTTTTTTAAATCACGTAATTTGAAAAGTCACACGATGACATATGTTTCTTTCCTTTTTTTCTATCATTTAATTATTTAAGATTCGGTAATTATAAAATCGTATATAATGATAGATAAAATTATTTGTATCATGTGTGATTTTAAAAAATTACGTACTAATTTGGAATAATTTTTGTTATGTAATTTACTTGTTTTAATTACATGATTTTGTTATGTAATTTAAAGTTCTAGATATACAAAACGGCTAGGTATGCTTGTCGAGCAATCAAATATGATTGGTTGAATCTATAAGTAATAACCGATTATATATATGTTCATTTGTTCGGCGAGCAGGTTAGCCGCTTGACTCTTGTCTTTAGTTTTTCATCGGTTCTGTAAGTGTAAGAATCCAATCATATCCAATCTCAAAGAGCGCTTTCATCAGTCTGCTGGACACAGACACATTAAATAAATTTGTAATTTCTTAGGTAAAATTCTGACAATTGTTGCTTTTCACGTAAAGTAAGATGAATTAATTATTTTTCTTGTGTGTGTGTGATTGTTTACTATATTTTACTATTATGTTAGATTTATATTATATTATTTTTTTATTAAAGACTTGCGGAGCAATCATGCAGCACATATAATCCAATACAGAAACACGGTTCGATAAATTCTAGTCACGACCAAGAAAAAATCGATTACATGTTCAACAAAAACATAAAGATGGTACTCATTGACGACGATTTATCGGTTTTTTTGCTAACTCAAGAAGGAGAGGTAGCCCAGAAATATACTAGAAGTGTTTAATATTTAATTATATGTAATATTATATATATATATACTGATGGTTTTTCATTGAACTTAAAGCTCTCTTAATATTTAAAAGTTATTATGGATATATATTATATATGTACATATAGCATATGTATTATAGAAAAATTATTTTTATTTCGTAATAAATAAAGCAGATTTGGAAATGAAAAAAAATCACCTTAGGATTCAAATAAATTTTCATATAAAAATGTCTGTGTACTGAATAGTGGAGATTATTATATATATTATTATATATATTATTATATATATTATATATTAGTAATCTCAGAAAGAACGGATTTGTATATATATTTTATATATTTATACTGTGATACTTTTTTTTGTAATATTATATTTTGTATAATTTTTATACATAAATGCCCAGATAGCACAGAATATTTATTACTATTCATTTTTGTAAATGTTATATAAATATTTTATATAAAGCGCTTTATTCAAAATATTATTAAAATAAATATTTTATGTAATATTTATGATAGGTATAAATAAATATTTTTCTATAAGTACTTTTCAGAGTTGCGTTTCAAAACCGATCATTGTTCGGCGTGTAGTTTAGAAAAACTGTACATATATTAATATATAAATTGACGCGAAATTATACAATATAAGCAACTAAGATCCAGCTACTAGATTATAGACTTCGTATTCATATTAGTTATGAATACTTTTTACTTAGATTGTAATATCTTATTAAGTGTATATCTTTTGTGTGTGTGTGTGTGTGTGTGTGTGCGTGCGTGCGTGTGTGTGTGTAGCATTTACTACAACATTATAATAAATATTTCATAATATTTGTAATAAATTTTTATAATTTGTGCAATCTCTAAGACCAAAAAAATATTTACAAAATATTAAAGAAAAATCTTATAAATATTTATAAATATTTTGTAAATATTTTATAAATATTGTGTGTTGTTGGGTATAAGAAAAATTATAATAATTTATCAATCTAATTAATTGATAATTTTAGAATTTGTAGAAATTTCTTTTTGTAGAAAAATTAGTATGAAAAAATATATATATAATAGTGCATCAATTTATTTCTTATTATCTTTTATTTTATGTACAAAATGAATTGTAGAATTAATAATAATTTTATTTTTGAAAGGTATACCACTGGGGGAACATTAGGCAGTTTAATAATATTGTAGAATATTATTCACAACTTTTTGATTTGAGATATACACGTATTGTACAAGCTGCAGTTAGCAAGCAAACATTTATCATTTTAACTGATGATGATAAAGTAAGTTAACGATTGAACTATTATATACGCGTTATAATGATATTTAGTTTTAGAAATTAAAAGTCATTTAATTCATTCTAGATATTCTATTTTCAAATCCTTAATAATAACGGGACTTGGATGAGACAGATCAATTTCGAATTCCCAAAAAAGGTTCGTTCTATTTGTTGTGGTAACAGTTTCTTTGCATTACTTACTGACGATGGAAGAGTATATACTTGGGGAATAAATAATTATGGTCAGTTAGGTATTTCTACATATGGCAACAATTTTATAGACAAACCATATCAAGTTAAAATTAGTAACAAAAAAATAGGTAATTATTTTATTTCGTAAGCTCATTTCTAAAGATGATTTATAAGAAAAAGAAGAATTCGTATAGATGCAACTACACTGTTGACTAATCTATATTTGATTTTGACATTTTAGTACAAATAGCTTGTGGATATACACACACACTCGCACTAACTACTGAAGGATACATTTATGGGTGGGGTCACAACCTTTTTGGAGAATTAGATTCTACTTTTCCAGAAATCAACCCTAGTCCTAGAAGGGTAAATAATTTGTTATTATAATCATTGTGAGAAAAGAAATATAAAATAAAAAATAAAGTAGAAAATTTTGGAATTAACAGGTTCAAGTAACAGAGAAGGATTTAAAAATATTGGATGTTGCTGCTATGAAGAACGTGAGTTGTGCCATAACCGAAGAAAAACATATTGTTTATGTGTGGGGCAACTGTTGTGAACAAAAAATTTGTAAACCTGCCCCCTGCGACCACACGACTTTATTTGACATGTGTAATGCGCTGACTGGCAAACCACCAACTACTGTAAAAAACAACTTGTATCGCGACCAGCGGCTTAAATTACTGAACGATATTGCAAAATCGTTTAACGAGATTGTAAGTTTCATTTCTGTGTATACAATCTATTGTATGTACCAAGATTTTTAAATTTCATATATATAATTGATTCAAGCAAGAAGCTTTCGAAATTCTTGGACTTGTGTAAATGATGGCTTGATAGAAGCCACAGACAAGTCATTTATAAAAATTCTTTATGTGCTTTCTTGCAAAATTAATTACTGTGGCCCAATTTTGATCCTTGTCCTGTATAGATTTTTTAAGTTAGTCTAAAAATATACATATACAATGCTTCATATAATATTCGCTATCTTAAGTCTTTTTGTTATATAAGGTAATATTTATTTATTTTTAACAAATCATTTGTTTGCTTCTGACAGAGTCATAGCGATCTTGCTATAAAAGTTACAAGAAGGTATATTTATGTCCATAAGATAATACTGCAATGTCGTAATTCATATTTCAAAAACATAGACCAATTTATACAGCTTGAAGGAGATAAAAAGTAAATATTTATTAAAAACTCGTGTTATCCTTATTAAGAATATTTTATATTTGATTCTTTATACGTGTCTCTTTTCCTTATAGTGTCATCATACTTAATCAATTTTCCTATGAGATGTATTACGCTTATTTCAAATATTTATATACTGGCAAAATTGAAGTATCTACAGTGAAAGAGAAATTTAGTGAGTTTGAGTTTAAATAGAGATCGTACAATTACTTTATTGTTGCTTACAATTTGTAACTGATACCATTTCGTTATAGAACTCTTCAATTTGGCTGAGGCATTTAGCGATGAGCGGTTTAAGAAAAGTCTCTGTAACGCGATAAAAGATGACACAACGACGGAAAATTGATTTTCTACTTACATTTATACGACGCTAAAATATAATGAAGAAGTAATTGGCAATCTCACTTTTTTTTTATTAATAGATTTCATTAATAGCTGATTTCTGTCTTCTAAAAGAAAGTACCAATTTATAATGGAATTGATATATTAATCAATTGGGATGTTCTTTATTCTTGTTTTGATCAGAGTAAAATATTTTTTCAAATATTTTTATGTCATGGGGAGGAATGGCAAGGTCGCATTATGTCTCTAAATATTTCATTAGACACGCAGTTTTTCTTTGTAAGGTGTTCCTGCATGCTTATCCGGCGTGCCAATATTGCATTTAATACTAAAATTCATTAACTATAAAAAATTTATTTTTATTCTGCACATATTTATTCATTTACTTATTATACGTATTTATTTTATTATACAATATATTTTTGTTAATTATACGTATTCTACATAATTTACAGCTACAGCAATTTTGTTTCGATTTCTTCAAATACAAAACGGAAATAATAAAGATGAAGAGTTTTTTGGACTTAAACGAAGAAATAAAAAAAAATTTTTTGGAAAAATCTAAATAACTAAGAAGTACTATATACTTGTATAATACAGATTGATAAAAATGTCTAAAAAGAATTTTATGTAACGAATAGAAAATTTTTTAGAATATCAATTGTAACAATATTTGTTACAATTTATGATTGTAACAAATACCTAAGAACAGTTTTATCACGAACAGTATATTAAGTATACTTAATAGAAAGTTGAACTAAATTAAATTTAAAAAATCAGTTTATATACATATACGATTAATCATTTTTCAATAAAAAAGTATTGATTAAAATTCGAAATTTGGATAAAACTGTTCTTATAATGCACATTTAAGCTAAAAAAAAACAGAATGCAAAAAAGTAGAAATTATTTGATGAAACATTATCAACAATTAACAACTAATATAATACATATAGAGAAAATAAGATAAAGAGAGAAACACTAGATATATATACACACATATATATGTATATATATATATATATGTAGTATGTATATGTGTCAGGCTCAAAGCCGAAAACGCTCACAGAGCGAAAAAACCGATCACAATGCGTTACCCAGCCACAATGCAAAATTCGTGTCGTGGCTCTTTCAAAAACGCTTACAACGCGTTCTGGCATATTAAAAAATAAAAAGCGTATTGTGTTGTCTTGACAATCGACCAATACGCGTTTTGGCTAAGTTAAAAGCGCCACAACGTAAAAAAAAGAGCTTAATGAGCCAAGGGTCATCGCTTCAATGATTGTATAGAGCTGCGTTCAGAATCATCTGAGTGCACCCAGGTGACGTGTTATCCTTGTTTATCATTCGTGAACAACAAGGGTAAAACAGTCTAGGTGCATCCGGACGATGATTCTAAACGCATCCCTGTTGCACAAGTTTCGACTTTCCACGCGAAACGACGAGTCGCAGACTAAGCACGGTGTAAAAGTTTAAGTGTTGCATTGGTGGGCGATAATGCGGCCAAGAGAAAACGCTATTAATTATGCCAGAACGCGTTGTAAGCATTTTTGAAAAGCGTTTTTGAGTCACAACACGAATTTCGTATTGTGGCTGAATCTTAGAAGCCATAACACGTTGTGGTCGATTTTTTCGCTCTGCGAGCGTTTCAATCTGAGTCTAACATATATATATATACATATACAATATAATATTTTTTATATGTAATATATATAATATACATTTTATATATACATATATATGTATGTATCATCCTTCTAGCATTTCTCTTTCAATTTTTAATTGGTTTCTGCTTTTTAACGTTCTGCTTAATTTGACTTTACTTTTTAGAAATATATAAGAATAATGACTCTGATAATGCTGTAATGTTGTATCCAGTAACATTTCTGTACTAACATGAAATTTTCGACTTCGTTGAATAAAAGATTTCATCGTAATAAACTATTGTATCATGTCTCGCAATGTTATATGAATGCAATAAACTATTTTTGGTTGGTACTCATAATTTGTTCTTATTTCAAGATTGTCTTAATATGTGTTAATGTGTGTGCGGCTCTTTATCGTAATATCTCAAAATAGAACATGTGAGATGTTCTTAAATATAAAGACTCTTATTAAAGAAATATATTATAAATATACGGCCTCTATACTGGCCTTTTTAGAGGGCATAAGAAATAAGAAACGATTTTTTTATCCTTTTACACCGAGCATTTCATACGCATATTAATTAGTAACTTTTTATTCAATTAATTTGATTTTAGCAATGTATTTAAAGAATGACATACTACATTGGTGCAGTATGCATCAAAATCATAATCATTAAATACTCGTGCGTGTGTGCGTGCGTGCGTGCGTGCGTGTGTGCCGAAATTAAGATAATTTGTTATAAATTAATAAATTAGAAAGTTACTATAAAGTTATTAGTCTTATATCTTATATCCAAGTGTACGACATACATACTAAATCTTTTGCGCTTCTTTTTGAAGTTTATAATATATTAGAAGTATAAATAATGTTTCCGTCGTTTTTTCATCAAAAATTGGGCACTTATTGTGAAAGAACGGTACCTAATGTTTTATTTGAAGTATTGTCCATCGCTAGCCACGTGCGGGATTCTCTAAATGTCTTAGGATGCAGTCACATGGAGTCAGAAATAACGGAACGGAACAGTAACGGAACATTGATAGAAAAGAGATAGAACAATCCTATCTCTTTTCTATCAATGTTCCGTTCTTATTCCGTTCCGTTATTTCTGACTCCATGTGACTGCACCCTCAGCAGAAAAAGCAGCTTTGCAACTGTTGTAAAATTCTTGAATATGATTGGCTTATACATTTAGATCTAATGAGGAAATAAGGACAAGACCAATCATATTAAAGATTTTACAACAGTTGCAAAGCTGCTTTCTCTGCTGAACGCAGCCAATTCTAACCATAACATACTGGTGGCGCCATCTTTTGTCAAACGGCAGAAACTTATTTATACACCTAATAATAATTTAACACAAATAAATTAACATTTCAGTTTTTATTATTAAAGGATAATTGATAATAACAATGAGATTATAAATAAAATAATTAAAATGATAACAGATAAATAAACAGAAATAAAGATGTATGGGGATTTCAACGCGAGTGGAAATGAACGTCAAAATTTTCAGATCTTTATTTCTAGGAACTTTAGTATATAAAGGTTTTCAAAGCTTGGATTCTCTCTCTCTCTCTCTCTCGCTCTCTCTCTCTCTCTCTCTCTTTCTTCCTTTTTTTCATCATTTTTTTATCATCCTCTTCGTTGAATTGGGTTGTCTTCACCGGTGTGCTGTCCGTCGATTAATTTTACGGCGTGATTCTTCGACATGGCGCAAAATAAATTCAGCGAGATGGCCTCACGCTTTAGTAAGGGCACAAACGGAGTGCCGATGAGCCTGAAGTTTCTCGCTGCTGCGGGCGTTGCGGCGTATAGCGTTTCGAAAGCCATGTACACAGGTTAACCTCAATCTTGCTTACATTTTTAGTGATAATTGTTTTAATTACTGCTTTACCCACATTGTTTCCCTTGAATAATCAATAATCTAAAACGACCATTTAATTAACGAATGTATTTACACTTTTTGTCTAATGGATAATTGTTTCTAGTCGCTTGTTGTTCCAAGCGGCTTTGGTTTATGTAATTTGCAATGTAACTGACGCAATTTATTACATTTATACAATACATACTTGTATAACTCCTTTTTTTGTACAATACTTTTAAATTTTTTATTATTGATATAGTTATTTTTATAATGCAATTTATTGTTATCTCTGAATTTGCTTAATATAAAAATTTAAGAGAATCTCTGGTTTGTACAAATTAAAAGATATTGAAATGATTATTATTTGGATTTTTTAAATTGATGAATTATAAGGTCAAATATATGATTTTCAGTGGAGGCTGGTCACAGAGCAATCATATTCTCTCGGTTGGGTGGTATTCAGAAGGATATCCTGACCGAAGGTCTACACTTCCGCATTCCATGGTTTCAGTATCCAATAATTTATGATATTAGAAGCAGACCTAGGAAACTGTCCTCACCCACAGGATCTAAAGATTTACAAATGGTCAATATCTCATTACGTGTTCTCTCACGCCCTGATGCCAGCACGTTGCCTTCCATGTACCGACAATTGGGTCTCGATTATGATGAAAAGGTTCTTTAAACGTTCTTATACATAAGAATGTTTATTTCTTTAAACATACAAAATAATGATACCAAAAAATTTTATTCTTTAGAAATTTTAGGAAATTAAGTTGTTTAAATATTTAATTTTTAAATATTATGAAATGTAATTTTTCTACACAATTCTATTTTCAAACTTTCTAATTGAAACTTTAATATTAAATTAAATAATGAATCAAATGTGTGTTCAAGGTTACATTTTATTAATTAGTGCCTAATAATATTTTTATATGAATATTTAAATATATTTTCTCCAGTACTTTAAACTGTACGCCAAACAGTTAGTTTTGAAACCACAGGCTTTTAGTAATATCACAAATTAAATTATCAATCTAATAATAATGCTAACAAGCATTTTAAAATACTAAAAATGATTTATTATAAATTGAAAAATATTATCTCGCTCTCATTATTATTAGCTTGACAATATGTTATCACTTTTTTAATTTAGGGCTTTGTTTTCAAGATTGGCTGTGATTGGCATGCACTTTAAATTATTGGAAAAAAGATTTAAAAATATTTATATAGAAATATTAAGTATTAAGATCTAATCTCAAATACATTTAGCGCTTTTTTATTTCATTTGATTCATTCATTTAAGTAATATAATATAATTTATTATTGTTTTTTAACATATACATTGAAAAAATCTATTAAAGTTGATACTTATGATGAAATTAATTGTTGATATTTATGATGAAAAATTGTAGATTTAAAACTAAATTGAGATTAATAATTCAGGTACTTCCAAGCATTTGCAATGAAGTGCTGAAGTCTGTTGTCGCCAAATTCAACGCCTCGCAGTTAATTACGCAAAGACAGCAGGTATCTATCATGGTGCGTAAGGAATTGACAGAACGTGCTCGAGACTTCAATATCGTTTTGGATGACGTCTCGATAACGGAGCTTAGCTTCGGTAAAGAATACACAGCTGCAGTCGAAGCTAAACAAGTGGCCCAACAGGAGGCTCAACGAGCTGCATTTGTAGTAGAAAGAGCCAAGCAAGAACGACAACAAAAGATCGTACAAGCCGAAGGAGAAGCGGAAGCAGCCAAAATGATATCCTTTAAAGAAACAATTAAGTTTTTCAGTTGATTTATAGTATAATTAATTATATTGTATTAATGAAAGGAACAATTGCTCTAGTCATGAAAAACATATAATTGGAAGTTGAAATTATAAATTTTTCTTTTGTTTTTTTACAATTGTTAAGTATTTAAAGCTTATAATTACACTAATTTAAATATTGATTTAAATTAATAATTTGTAAGTTATCAATAAATAATGAAGTGCTGCATTATTTTTTAAACAAATGCCTTAACTCCAGTGTACCTTGGTTTAGCTGTTAGCCAGAATCCTGGATACCTAAAACTACGTAAAATACGAGCTGCACAAAATATTTCGCGTACGGTGAGCATCTTTATAAGTGTACAAACATTGTTAATATTTAAAAAAAACGAAACTTTCATAAAAATTAATATTTATATGCTTAAAAAATCTTCAAACATATTTATTTATGTACATAATTATTACTCGCTTTATTCCAGATCGCTAATTCCCAGAATAGAGTATTCCTCAGTGGCAATAGTCTGATGCTAAATATCCAAGATCCTACCTTTGACGAGGGTTCGGATAAGCTGAAAAGTAAGAAGTAAAAATCGTCAAAGTGCGCGTCTTTTTTTATCTCGTCTCTCGAGTTAAGTTTTTATTAAGCAATCGGCTTGTGTATAATTATGTTGAAATACTGTGAATAAGATACGTCATGTGTTTTGAACGCACGGATTATATATATATTTTCCCATCACACTGCGTTCTCCTTTTCGTCGTCCGCGTCCTCATGATCATTTGCAGATATCTACTTATTTCACCATTGCATGTTCTAAATTTAATACGTTCATATTGCACATTAAACGATAAAGTAAATAATTATTAATAATAAAAAATTTTGATTGCGACACATTTTGAGACGCATAATAATTACATGAGATTAGATTATTAATATTAAAAGTCCTACAATTTATTAAATGAAAAATAGGAAAACGTTGATAGTTCATAGTGTAGATTGTTAAGCTCAACTTTTCAGAATTAAAGTACTTTGTTTGAAAAAAAATTTATTTCTATTTTTTTCACGAGACCTTCCCTTTTCTATATTACAAGTGAAGCCTTAACATATGCAAAGAAAAAATTTTTCTAATGCGCAGAAAAAAAAATGAGAGTTCAAAAAGAGATTAAATTCAAGATATAAAAAATAAATTAGAAATCACAGAATGAAAATAATATTTATAAAGAATTAATGCTAATAATTTCTAATGGGTACTTCGAACATGTCGCGCATAGGCTACACATAGACGCCCAATACGGACTTTTTCAGATTACATGGGAGTGAGCTGGAAGAGCTGGGACGAAGCGGCCGACCGCGCCGTCCGGAGCCTGAATACCAGTTCTCATCGGGCACTGCCGACTACCGAAAGGTCCGGCATCAACACACCAGTACCCCTTGTCGTCCCATTCCTCCTGGAATCAGCTGATGATAGTGCTAAACTGATAGTACCGTTACGATAAGAGTTCTTCGGCCCAAGCTTGTCCTCACCAATCATGACTCCTCTTTGTCCATTATCCTATCGATGAGCGTTGTCCTTTTGTGTATATCTATTTCTGTGACTTGATGATAGAATAAATGATACAATTGCGATCTAGTTAAAGCCGTGTTTGTCCTAAATACATTTTTTTTGCATTTTTTCTGTGTTAAAAACAAATGTCCAAAGGAAAGAAAATAGATGTATTAAGATAGATATGTTAAAATAGAATTCTTTTATTTTTATGTCACTTTTTCATTCTTTTCCTATTGTATTATCATTTTTCTATAATTTGTATATATAGAAATATATTATATATATATAAAATTCATAATTAGACTAAATTTAAATGTTATTGACTTTCTATTATTTCTTTAGATATTTAATGCATAATCACGATTTTATCATTTATTCTTATTATGAAAGAATAATATATTAATAATAAAAATATAAAACAAACTTGAAAAAATACTAACGGTTTTAATAAAAGGAAATAATTACGAAATATTAATATGCAATATTAATGAATAAAAAATATTTTTAACTATTTGTAGCTTGCACAGTAGCAGGAGTTACTTATAAAAAAAAATTATTAAAAATTTAATGATAAATTTTAAATTTTAATTAAATTTTAGACTTAGGACTTAATAAATAGAAAATTCTTTAGTAATAATTTATATTATTTTCTTTGATAGTCTCTAGCTTATCTTCTTTATTAAACGGTCTTAGGCTCGAACGGTATTTGCAAATTTTTTCACATATATCCGTCACGTTAATCGTACATATATCCTGTCACGAGTTGTCCGAACCTGAGATATTTTTATTCATATTTCTTAAATATTACATTCGTGTTTTACGTGAAAAATACAAGCTATCTATGGAAAAGGTCAAACTATGATGTTAACTCTATATATGTATTATATATTTATATATGTTACACATACAATGATAAAAATTTTTCCCAGAATTCTTCACACAATCTTAGAATTTCTATACAATTTCAGAATTTTTAGAATATTTATCAAATTTTTTATACAAATTTACTTCAGAAGTACAAAGAAAATCTAGATCTTTTCTAGGATTCTTTGCATATGTGAATTCTGAAATATTCTCATAGTATAATTTTCGTTCGAATCCTATAATTTTTGAAGCTTATAAATTTTAAAGTTTTTATTTTTTTACATTTTCAATAAAAATTTCTTAAGAATATCATGATATGAGAATTTTTTCCACTAGGATAGGGAATAGGTTTGCGTAGAGATAAAAAAATTACCGAAAAAAAACTATAATAGAAACTTGAGTAAAAAAACTGTAAAAATCAATTTTAAATTCTGAAAGTTTTTCATTCGGATCCATATTTTCTTTAAACATTTAATGCCATATATATATTACTCTAAAATTCAGTTTTGTATTCATCAAAAAGCTATAAACAAAAAATGTATTATAGTATAATAACTATGTGGCGATAGCCATGGATAGATCCAATTTCAAAAAGATATTAAAATTCATTAGGTAACACAAAATTTCCGTCGCGATTTATAAAGTTATAAAGACAAAAGTATCAATTAATACCGAAATAACGTAGATAATAAATGTTTTAAAAATAAATATCATGAAAACTGGATTTGATATTTTTTTATTAGTTTCGATTAAAAAAAAATAGAGAGTCGAAATTGGTCATGTTTAATTAATTTTAAGTCAAATATGTTGAAAACTGCGTAGTTATTGTAACGTATTTAGTATTATTTTATAAGGGTAAATTTGTTATCAGTTTTATTTAATTTATTTTGACTCTTACTTTGCCCTTATACTATGATTGATTATTGTTTAAAAAAAACTGTTTTTTATTGTAAAAATTTAGATTTTTACTCGATGTTTTTACTCCAAAATAAAAAGTTTGTTTTTTCATCTCTACGCCCGCGGGAGCAAAGGATCGAATAAAATGCACGCATTTTACTATTGCATTCATTTATTTTCTTATATTTCTACTGTAATACTGTAATACCATACAAGAAATGCACTTTAATGAAACCTACAGAAGAGAATCTGAATATAAAGTTAGACGCTTAATATCGTCTCGCGGTATTTCGCTCTCGTATCCGCAATATATATAATAAATGTGTGCTTTTTTCTTCTCTTCAACAAACGCAAACATATTTCCATTAATTATTTTATTTCCCTTTTTTTTTGATCGATATAAGCGATTCGTACAACGCGATTCGACAATCAATTCTCGCTTCCCAATCATTCACACATTCAGACGCACACAATCACACAACACCACTCACCGTTCTGAAATATGTCATGGTAGAAAAATTAAAAAGAAAAAGCCACTTTTTCGCGTTAACCTCTCTTTGGTCGTAAGAAAGAAATTAATCGAACGGTACTGCGGTTAAAAACAGCGGCTGACCATCGGGAAATTTTGCTTCCTCGTCTTCCGTTAGCGATTTTCTTTTTTTTTTTATTTACTTTTACGTTCTTTACATATATTGCAAAGTGTTATCAAAACATATAAAAATTTACCCGGTATGAAATCGTTACGTACGATTCACACGGTGTAATTAATTAATTTCTCTTTTCTCTCTACGTTCGTATATAATGATATCACTTTCGTAGTGAGTTTGATTGTATTAAGCAAAGTAGCAAAACCGCTTCCAGATGGTAGGAATGAATTTATGATTGGCAAACCTTACTGATGACTTATAATATGTATGCAAGAATCAAGTATTCTGCAAGAATTATGAAATTTATTTAGTTCCCTAATCTTCCTAAAATTAGTGTTAGAAGATTGGAAGCTTGATTTAAATTTTTCTCCATTCCATCTAAAGGATAGAATCTTCAATTCAAAATAGATTCTGGTCCTTGTATCGCTTACTTTTACAGGTACATTTTTACAAAGTTTTATTAATTTTTCTTGGAGTATCTCCTTGCGAGAATATATTATGAAGTATTTCGTAACTTTTTTATTAACTCTGCTAGTCTGCTACCATAAAACAGCATGCAGATTTTATTAAATATGATGGACATATATTTTGACTAGATATTATATAAACCATTGTTTAACATCACTAATAGGATCTCTCATTAAATAGGCAGCCTTGTTTTAGAGTCAAAACTCGTTGAAGTCAGCGAGGATCTGAGAACTTTTATGTATTTATATGCAAAATTAAGAGAAGAAATGAGCAGTGAAATTATGCCGACACTATCGCATAAAAATAAAAATAAAAGAGAAAACAATGAAACTCAAAAAAAAGATGAAAGAAAAAAACGAAAAAAATAGAATCATAAACATCGCAATACTAATAATAGATTTGCTGAAAGAATATTAAATATAACTACGAAAATTATTAACTTCGAAATTCTTTATAAACAACTTTATGACATAGTTTTTCGCGCCGTTAACGAGATTTATCGTCAATAGTTGCAGGCATTTAGTCAGAAACGACCAAGGAGTGGCTTTTGAAAATTATATAAATATATAATTTGTACATAAAAATATATTTAGATATATATATATGCAACATTCAAGATCTTTTTTTCCACTCTATTTGCGCGTTCTATTTACAGCGCAAAACAAGACTTGCGTCAATGACATAACCGTGCAAATTTTTAATAAAATTATATCTGTTCTTCATGAATAATTCAGACATGGAAAGTTTAGTGACAATTGTACACTTCGAAGGTCATTGATATACGTAAAAAACGTAAGACCTTTGCAGGAAGCAAATTCGAATCGACCAATCATAGTAGAGTTTCGAACTCTTACAAGATTCTAAATTCAAAGAATCCAAATAATAGTTGATTGGCCGATTCGTCTATCGCTTCCGCATCTCTCGTGTGCCACTGGCTCAGCAGCTTTTCGCGGTTCGTCAGCGTGAAGCATGACGCCGGTCTATTACATCGGCAGCTTAAAGAATTACACATTTCTAAGTCTGCACATCATCGCGCCTAGCGAAACGAGGCTTTTCGATATTCGTAACATGTTGCAGGTCATTCTTGTACAGACATGGTAGTAGAACGTTAGTTGCGTTAAGCCGTAATCACACTATCGATTGGATTGCGATTAGTTGATTGATTACTTCTCAACCAATCAGAGTAAAGCAGTTACCGATTTTTTGTTCTAATTGGTTAAAAAGTTCGCCAGCTGCTAATCACATAGCAATCACTGATATCTTTACTCTGATTGGTTGAAAAGTAATCGCCAATTATAATATAATCGCAAACCAATCGGCAATCTCTAGTCTGATACGAGCTTTAGCCTCGCAAATGCGACATTGAGACATTCGGAGTCCCTTTTTCTCCCGCATTCCTGCGCGTACATCTTTCTTTTTCTCCACACGCAGCATATTCAGCCGCACGAATTCGCGACTCGTGCGATGCGACAGGCGAAGCACACGCACACACACGCGGCACACGCATACGCACACACTATACACACACGCATACACGCGTACGAGTCAACGGATTCGGAAATAAGATAACGAAAGGGAAAAGAAAAAGAAAAATTAATTAATCGCTACAGATCACACTTTTTGTAGTTCATCGTTCATCAAACATTCGAATTAGAACGAACACCGCATTCCGGGCGCACGCTTAGCTCCCTAAACTCCTGGAATAGCTTCGTTCGCTCGTGAACAATCCGCATCTCGAGATTAAATCTTACAACTTGATTCCAGAAATCAGACGGTTTTATTTATTCCCGCGCTAAGGTGCGCCAGAAAATGCAGGCTTGATTGACGCGCTATACCATACTGTTGTTGAAGGATTCACCCGTCGAAGGACCACAAAAATAAATCAGAAAATGAAGCAGGTTTTTCCGACCTGCACCTGTTCCGAGGTGCGCCGGTAAAGAGGATTAATAATCGCGATACTTTTTGAGAGCAACAGGTTACATCTTCGGCACATACTTTATTATTTTTTTTACTCTCCACCTCGCTTATCTCGCGGCGGTTCGATTCGATTATCTTATGTAGCTCGTTTTCTTCAGTTCGGCGGCCTTTACGTTTTAGTCGCTCGCTAATTATTAGAACAA